AGAATGGCCAATTAATCATCCCTGTTTATCCCCTGAGAAAGTTGTTTACAGCTGAATTAGGGTTAGAGTCAGACAACACTGATACAGATGTTTGGCTCTCTAGGGGCTGTTAATCTGAATTAGTGAAAAGTCTGATTTACAAAATAGCCCTCAAGAACTGCAGCTTTAATCCTCTAAGATTCCTACAAAAGCTCCATACCTGACAAAGTGTGCCCAAGTGCAGGTCATTTTAGACCTGCCTTTAGGGAGCAGATTGGATTGTGAAAGTGTCTCCTCACCCATTTTTCCCTAAGGTCCATGAGCAGTCTTCCCTAAAATTGCCTGTACACTTTGGTTGCCTAAGGATCATGATCTGTGAATTGGAAGACACCTAAAAGATCGTCCAACCCCACTTTGGACCCACAGTAGGAAACGCTCTACCACAGTCTTTATTGCTGGCTATCTGGTCACCTAACAGTATCAAGCTCACTGGCCTAAAAAGTGGCAGCTTCTTTCTGTAGCCAGCTGAAGATTTTTCAGCCTCTCCTGATGTCGGGGTGAAATTTTCCTGGTAGATCTCTAACTATGGGTCTTACTTTCACAGGGGAAGGCCCTCAGAACATGCCCACCCTCTTTCCCACAGGCTGGGCCTTCCAGTTTTCTGAAGGCTGTCATCACCTGAACCCCTGTCCTCTGTACCCCAGCGTGCTCTCCAGGCAGTGGCATCCCACTTCCTTCATATGGCTTCTAGACTCCCTATCTTAAGGTGTCACAAACTGATCCCTTTATTGCAGAACAGGCCTGGTCAGTATAAGCGTAGAGAGACTGTCATGTCTAGAGATTAAGGTGCCTGGACGACCACTTAAAACCTATCTTTTTCCCGGTCCTCTGCAGCCTTACACACCAGGGCTGGTCCTGTCTGGAGAAGGCATCTTAAATGCCCCCCACCCTCTCTCCCACTGGGCTGCTCTTCGGTCCCTTTCCCAGCCCTGGATTTTCCCACCAGGGTCACTGGCTTGCTAAGCCAACTTCTTTGCCCTCAATCTGCTCCATGACCATGAGGACCTACTAACTGGGGTTGGGATTAAAATGAGGCTTCACTGCAGTCAGTGCAGACGGCTCACTCTGATGAACACAAGAGCAAAATCTGATCTTTGAACAGGTTGAGCAGTTAACTTTGAAGTTGTCACCAACATGGGTCCTTGGAGAAGTTTTATTTCATTGGGGTGAAGTCATAGAGTACACTTTTAATATTTACAGACTATGGGGTAGATGGCTTAGTATATTGAATGTTAATGATTTTTAGTATCACACATTATCTTTGTTGGAACCACTAGCATTCTTTTTAAAAGCAGTTTATTAAAATGTGAGAGTAAATGGTGCATGGGAAATAATTCTAATAGAATTTGGTGAGTGAAGAATGTGTAAATTGCACATTAGTCCGTCGTCTCCTAGGCAGAATCAAGTATTTCATAGACTAGCTTTACTGAGAGCCACTTTAATATACATTTGGAAAATAAATTAGCGACATATGAAAATAAATGTAGCAGAAGTGGGCATTTCACTAGCTGAACAGCTAACAGGTTTAAGTAAGAGCTGAAAGTAAAATAGTGTGATGATTTGCCAATGGGAAAGTTCCGCAGTGGATTCTATACAGGAACGTGGCCCCAGGCCAATCATTCTGATATCAGTGTTTGTCCTGCTTTATTTTGGTTTTATACTCAATTTTTGCCCCTGGAAGTGGTCCCAGCTGGGTGCAAGGTGAGCCCACAGGAAGTGAGGGTCAAATTCAGATGTGTGGCTTCCATTCTTCAGCGAGCTGGCTGCAGGCAGATTCTCCAGCACCACCAGGAAGAGTAAACAGGTAGTAGAGGCAGAGGAAGGTAGTGCGGAGAGCAATTTTGCTTCCATTCTAAACAACTGTTACCCCACCCCGCAAATGCTGGCCCTCCCTGTTCCCAACTGCACAACCATCTGGAGAAAGCCAGTGCTTCTCACTAAGATGCTGAAGCCCTTCACCGCCACTTGAGTCCTCACAGTGTCCTCTCCCTCAAGTTCGCCTTTCCTCTCACCCCCAAGTATCTATGTCCAGCAGTGTGGGTGGGAAAGCTGATGTTTTTTCTATACTACTTTCTCGTAAGTGGTCATTGTCAACGTTGACTGCCCGTGGGTTCCTTCCTGAGAACACAGCAATGGCTTTAGCTTAGAAGTCTTAGGGAAAATAATTTCAGGTCTCATTCCATTGGTTCTCAGTCAAGGTTACTCCAACATTTGCAAGAGCCTTTATTTCCTACCTATGTCTACTTATACATGCAGTCATAATCAATTTCTTTGTATATGGTTTCTGTCCCTGTCCACGATCCCTTTATCATGATTTTGAAGTTCAAGTTGTTCTGATCACTGTGATTTTCAGTAACTCTGAGACAAACTCATTTCATGACAAAACATGACCTTAACTGATGTGCAGATATTTATTTAAAGTCTTTATTCCTCTTACTGTGAATGTTACTGCAGCAATATTAATAAGTTTTATTAAGGGATGCTTCCCCAGATCCCACTGGGGGTATTATATATCTACATGGTATAGTCACCATATTCCTGTTTTTAAGTTAAAAAAAATCTGAATATCGAAATTCATCTGCCCTTCAAAGGGCTTTGGATAAGGAACACATGTATACAAACACACTCATGTTTCCTATTAAGTCTGTAAATCTTTGTTTTGATTTAGCTGAGGAATAAGTTGATTCTGGTAAATAAAGCATCTGTGCTTTTTGTATTGTCACCTCAATGCATTCGGTTTTGAGGAAATAATCCCTGGGATTGTTTTGTTTTTTACAGCACTTGCTTAAAAATCATCCAGTAAACAGAAACTCTATCCAGAAATATTCTAAAGTGAATCTAGACTCTAGTTTGGCAACATTAAGATGACCAGAGTCTTATGAGAAGCCAGAAATTAATGCATAGGAATGAAAGAAACTAGATCTCTCTCAAGCTGCCAGCCAGTGGTCTCGGTATTGCAGATGCTCTGTGCTGTATTTGAAACTTTACTTGGGGGAAATTAAGGCCAAGTTAGCACAGTCTCTGGATTAGTCTCATTAAAGATGTTGCCTCAGCCCTCATTTAGTAACTGAAGACAAAAACAATTGATTAGATTTAGAGGGTACTTTGCATAAACATGGCATCATTGCTGACATTAAGGAGAGATCTGCAAAAGAATATAGGGAAATGAGAGAACTGGGTTGTAACCCCTATCCTCCACTGTTGGACATGCAGTGTGCACACGCATGTACATGCACACACATGGGCATAGACGCACACAGCCATACACACACATGCACAGACACATGTGGATGTATGTGCATACACACACACACACACATTTTCCCTGGAGATGTAATCCCCTATTTCTTCTGCTTCTCCTTATCTTTTGGTGTATTTGACAGAGCAATGTACTTGCAGATAGCATTTACTTAGCAGATAGTCTTTTAAAATGAGCTGTTGCTATGTGAAAGAAAATACCTCCCTGGGAGATGAAGGGGGCAGTCTTCAGGGACACAAGGCATATGTAATGAAAAGGCTTTCTACGTTGAGTAGTGACTGATGAGAAGCCCATGCTGGCTTAAAAGGGGCCCTATTCCTACCCAGACAGCAGCTAAGTATGGCTCCAGCTCAGCATGCAAGAGCTGGAGGTAATGTTGGAGGAATAGGCTCTGCTGAGGGTGTGGGGCAGGGGGCAGGCAAGGAATAGGACTCTGAGCTTCCAGAGTCTTGGGCAGAGGGGTCCTTGGGTCCTCTTCCTCCAGTTTGAAGGAGGGACCACAGGACCAGGTGCCCTCCAGGGCCACGACTAGTCTCCCCTGACTAAGCTGCAGGGGAAGAGCCGGACAAGGAGCAGGCAGTATAAGAGGCATCGAGGTCCAGATGGGCAGGTGGGCAGATGGAGGCCTCCCCAGCCCAGCCCTCACCATGATTAGACTTTTCTCCAGAGAGGGGACGGGGCTGAGGGGGCACAGGAAGTTGAGGAGCCTCCCACTAGTTTAGAGCCCCATTTCTGAGCAAAGCAGAGCAAAACTCAGACCAAAGGCACAATGAGCAAAAGGATAGAAAGGCAATGACACGCCCCAGCTGCAGAGGCCGACTTGCTAAGGGGCACAGAGAGCAGACGGTTAGGAAGGAAGAGTATTGATGATCAATAAAGGCAGAGTGGCAAATAGTGTCAATTTTCAAATGCTTTGCTTGGTCAGCTTTACAAATCTGAAATCAATCATTCAAGATGGCTGGTCCTTTATGATCAGACCTTCTGGTAAGAGTTTCCTAAAGTATCTACAAAAATTATGGTGGAGGAGGCCAAGAAGTGCATCGCCCATTCCTGCATTCACACAGTCCCCACGGGCGGCCGCGGTGCTGGGCACAGGGCACCCGGGAGTGAGTGCTTTACACAGCCCGCCCTCTGAGGGAGCAGGACGCCGCATTCTGGTCTCACCCGAGAGGCTGGCACCGGAAGGCAGGGGCAGGCCCCTCCCCACTCTGGACCTCAGCTTCCTCCTCTCAAACTGAGGATTGAACTCACCCCTCCCTCAGAGAAAGGATACACGGTGTGTGCAGCTAAGATCAGAGCCCCTCGCCAAACTGGGGGTTTCTGAATAAGATGGCAACAGAAAATGAAAAATTTTCTTAACCAAAAAAAAAATAATAATGCAACCATTAATTAAGATTCTCAGGCTGTGTGCCTGTGCAGGCACACAACCTTGGCTTGAAGTTTTCACGTGGAGTGGGGAGGCCAGGCCTTCCCAGCAGGACAGTCAGTGTGATGGAATCCGAGGAGCTGGGACACCCGCCAACCTGGTGCTAATGAAACATCCAACCGTGGGCCACTCCCTGGGCCTCCTGGGCCGCATATTTCCTGTCTCTAAAATGGGACGGTAGGCGCTACTCTGGCTGTGCGTTACAGACCGCAGGTCTTTATGCTGAACTGGGCTCTTTTCCAGCTGGTTCAAGACCGGGTTTCGTTTTTCCTTCAGCGCCCTCGTGGCCACCCCCCGGGCCCCACCGGTATTGCAGGCCAGCGGGGGCTCGGGCAGCTCCAGCGACTCCGAGAGCAGCTCCGAGTCAGACTCCGACACCGAAAGCAGCAGCACGGACAGCGAGTCCAACGAGGCGCCCCGGGTGGCCACTCCGGAGGTGAGGCAAGGGCCCGGGTCCCAGCCACGATGTGCCTGTCATGAGGCAATGGCCTGAACACACACACACAGTTCCAGTAAAGTGATGATGTTAGCACAATAAATACTTCCGAGAGGTATTTAGCATTTCTCATCCACTGAAGTAGGTATTCACACAGTCCCTAACAGACAGGCATTTCTGGCTGTGTAACCGGTTTGCTGTGTGACTCACTTAGCCCCTCTGAGCCTCAAGCTTCCTCCTGTGTAAAGTGGGAATAGTCATACGTGGGCCAGGAAATCCTCTTGGCAGAAAAGCAGTGAAGCCAGTCATGAGCCACTCCTCATGCTGGGGACTCAGCCCCTTACTTTAGGGGGAAGCAATGGGCTGCCATTTGGCAAGTAAGACCCAAGAAGTGGGATGGTTGGACGGTCCTGCGGTTTTGTTTGCTTTTTCTTTTAATTTCAATTTGCATCCTTCCAGTGTGTTTGATAATAATGCATGGAAACATTTAACACATAAACACCAAAATTATCATTTTGGCATGAAAAATGTGCCCTTCCCTTCCCATCGTCTGAGTCTAAGAGAGCTCCTCATTTCTCCTGAGCCTGCACATTGTGCAGCAGGCAGATCCCACCATGGCTCTTTACACGCTGGTGTTTCAGGAATCAGAAAAGAATGCTAGGAGGAGATACAGTAGTAATCTTACTGCTATTAATAATAGCTCACACACTGCTTGGACACAGACCGTGCACGGGGTATGGTGAGATGCTCTTGACCTGCATTTTCTCATTTCACCCTTACAATAACCCTCAGGGGTCCTTGCTATTACTATACCCACTTTAAAGGTGAGACAATAAGGTTCTGCAAGGCTTAAGAAAGAATTTTCCCAAGATGTCAGAGGCATGGAAACAAGGCTCAGTGTGTTAGCAGAGCTGGTGCCCCCAGCCCAGAGCCACACCGCCAGCCGGAGCAGCTGAGAGCGTTTGCCCAACCCTCCCCTGCCCCTGTCCTGTCTGGGTTGGAATCCCAGCTGCTCAGGTATCCTGAATTCTGTCACCTTCTATTGGTTGGTGCCAAGCCTCAGCTGATAGCTTTCAAAAGAAGAGCAGTTCTAATGAAAATGATGGCTCTTTGAATTCAACAGACAGAGTAATTCAACAGACAGAATTCAGAGTTGGGATTCAAGCACTTGAATTGCACACATCATTTTCATGGTCCACAGTGAACACTAATGTCTGCACGCGGGTTCCCATAAACTGCTTACTGCCCATCCCCCCAGGAAATTTCAGTGGGTTTTTGGAAGTTCAATCTTTTCCTCCTTGAGTAAAAATACAAGGGGCCTGCTCTTTTTGCAGCAAATTACAGTGTCATATAGGAGGCACTGGTCCTCTGGCAGATAGAAAGTCTTTCCTTTTGAAGTACACTTGGGGCATGCTGACATTTCAGGACTAGACATCACTACATCTGCATCCCAGTGAGAGGTTGAGGAATAAGTCCCACCAAGGAATTTGGGGAACAGGTTCCCCTGAGAGGCCACACTGCCCATTCTCTGGAAAAACTCTGAATCCTTTCTTTCCTGGCCAGAGTGGAGAATATTTCCAGACCAAGAGTGCAAATTAGTTTACACAAGTAGCTTGGGGCCAGTGTGTGGCATACTGGGCTATCTAGGCAATTTGATTGATGTGGATTCTGTGTGAGTGTGTTTGTACATGTGTGAATGGTTACTTAACATGCAGAGCTTTAATCAGCAGTCCCTGCGCTGCCAGTCCTCCTGACTTCTTCACAGATGTGAAACTCACTCTTGCTGTTGTTTCTCAATCTGCAGCCTGAGCCGCCCTCAACCAACAAGTGGCAGTTGGATAAATGGCTTAACAAAGTGACATCGCAGAACAAGTCATTGATTTGTGGCCAAAATGAAATAGCCATGGAGACGATTTCCGTGCCTCCCCCAGTCATCCAACCAATGGACGTCCAGGTCAAAGTGAAGACAAACCCCAGCCAGGTTCTGGCTGAGCCCCAAGACAGGCCTCTCCTTGGTCTCATCAGGGAGAAGGCCCGTCCACGGCCCACCCAGAAAACTCCAGAAACAAAGGCTTTGAAGCATAAGTTGTCAGCAACTACTGAGACAGCCTCTCAAAGGACAATTGGGAAAAAACAGCCCAAAAAGGTTGAGAAGAACACCAGCATTGATGAGGGTACCTGGGCCAAACCAAATATTACCAGCAGTACCCCCAAAGAAAAGGAAAGTGTGGAGCTTCCTGAGCCACCCAGAGGCCGCAGCAAAGCCACTGCACACAAACCCGTCCCTAGGAAAGAACCAAGACCGAGTGTCCCCTCGGCTGCCGAGAAGAAGAAGTACAGAGGGCCTGGCAAGATGGTGCCGAAGTCCCGGGAATTCATTGAAACGGATTCATCTACATCTGATTCCAACACAGATCAGGAGGAGACCCTGCAGATCAAAGTTCTGCCTCCTGGCGTAGCTCCTGGGGGCAATCCAGCCAAATCCAAGGAGACCTGTGGTGCCAGCCTGACCCTCAGCACCTTAATAGGTAGCAGTGCCAGCAACACCTTGTCCATCAACAATGAGGAGCCAGCCTTTTCGCCCATCCCTGTTGTGCAAACTGAACTTTTGTCCCCTCTACGAGATCACGAGAATGTGAAAAATCTGTGGGTGAAGATTGACCTTGACTTACTGTCTAGAGTACCTGGCCACAACTCACCACAAGCAGCAGCAGCCAAGCCCGACCACAAGGAGGTCACCTGCAAGCCCAGGCGTCCGACTGCTGCTGCAGCTGCGGAGAAACCTGCCCCTAAGGGCAAGCGTAAGCCCAAGGTAAGTCGGCCCATGGGGTCTGCGCGGGACCGTGAGCACGGGCTGTCTGGTGGCTAACTTGATCTTGAGGAGGCTGGTGGCAGAGGACCGCAGGCTTTGCTGAAGTCAGTGATGCTTTCCGTGGCTGACCAAGTACGTGATGTGACTCAGGAGGAAGTGTTAGGCAAGACCAGGGATTGGCAGCCGATGTCAACAGTATCGAATATGATGTGTGAAGGATTATGATGTGTCAGAAGAATATGAAGTCCCTGGGATTGGCTCCTTGAGCTGCTCCTGCTTTCACAGACTCACAGGTCGTTACTCTCCTGCCCCTCTCCCCAGCAGCCACAGGGCACCCAAGCGCTCCTGAGGTCAAAGTGCATCCTCTGAGCCTTGCTGATTTCTCCAGACAAACATCAGCATCCCCGCCACCCAGTTAGACTTTGAGTATCCTGGCTTCTACTGGACACACGTTCTGCTCAGCCTGCTGGGCCCCCCTGACCTATGTGGCTGCTTCACTTGTGAAATCTCACCTCTAAGAGGTTAGGGCTGAATTCCAGGGCCACAAACTATCAGCAGAAGGTGAAACCCAGAATGGCCTCTTCCATTTCCAATACATCTAGGAAGGTGAGTTTGTATCTAATAGGCTCATTCTGTTGTATCTCCAGACCTCACAGTAGTTCATTTTAGACTATCTTCTGGTCGTATTTCAGTAATACACCAAATGGCTGCCAGAGTGGCTGGAAAGTAGGTACCCACTCCTTTCCCCATGTCTTCTCTCCTCTCCTAGAAGAGAGTTACCTACGGTCAGAAATGGCCCAGATTCTTCATTAGGGAGTAGCCCTGCCTGTGGCCAGCCTGTACTGCTGAAGGGGGTACAGCAAGGGTGACTTACATCTTCGTCCAGCTTTAGGGATTCAAAACAGAGGGTATTCCCTCTGAGCTGTGCCCCAGATGATCTAATGGGAGCGTTCCAAAACAGGGACCCACTCTGAATGATAACAACGGGACAAACAGGGGTAAAAGGAAACATTCAGAACCAGCACATGCAAGATGCAAGGGCTCATGTGTGTCCTTGACTTCCTTCATGTTGTTGCTTTTATGAGGGACCTTTATATGTTACCCACAGTTCCCCACGTCACTTGGACAGCATTTTAGGGTGTGTTAGAGTTGCAGGGTTAGTTTCTAAGCTACTCATTTGTGGGGGCATTGTTGATGGGAGAAGTGTCTGAAAATGAGAGATTCTCTTTACTTCCAGTGTTGGATTCCTGTGCCACCCAATCTTTTTAATCAGCGGTTCATATCACAGCTTAACTGTCTCAAATGCCAACTTCTTGATACAAGTAGACTAGGCAAAACTCTTTTCTGTCTGATAAAAGGTACACATTTAACTCCTCTACTTAATCTAGAAGTTAAAATAGAAGCAAACTGCCTTGCTCACTGTTCTTAAATGTTTGCATGTGCCACATATTCACAATCCATGTATTTTTTTTCCTGTTAAAGCCAACAGAATTTGCAGAGAAAATCCCTGAGAAGAAGCAACGCCTCGAGGAGGCCACCACTATCTGCCTGCTTCCCCCTTGCATCTCACCAGCTCCCCCCCACAAGCCCCCCAACACTAAAGAGTAAGTTTGCCCCGTCTTTGTATGCTGCTTTGATTCTTCAGACTCTCAAGAAATCCCAAATGAAGCCATGTTTTGGGGTGGGGGGTGGAGAGTGGATGGTGAGGGTCCTGTCCCAGAGGCATGTTAGGTAAAGACAGGAGTGTCGGTCCAGTGCTGACACCTGTCACTGGCCACCAGTCTAACAAGGGTGGAGTACGGGCTGCCAGATTTGGGGTGACTCCATGGGATTTTTACCAACATTTCTCTACTCCAACTGAGACTGATGAGGTACAGTGAACTTTTAGCCCCAAGTGAAGGGTAAAAAGAAGTAAATGAATTAAAAAGGGGCAGCATCAGGAGACACCTATGACCTGACCCAGATCACCTGCTTCTGGGCAACTTCAGTACTGATGGGGATGAAGCAGTCTCCCTGCAAAGCAACCCCTTGGCCTCAACAGGATGCCCCAGCTACTACTGCATCCTCAGCGTCATTACTTAACCTTAATCCAAAGCTTGAGAACCTTGAGAACCTGTAGCTCCTTCCTAAACTCCTCAGAGGCCAGGGGAGTGACACATCGGGGGAGGCCACAGAGATGACACAGCTGGGCACCGCCCTCCTGCAGGCAGCCCCATGCCACAGAGCACCAGCTAGGGACGGACACATTGCTTCCAACCAGCTGGCATGTCTTCTCCCTCCTGTTTTGTAGAAGGTGCGAGAGTCAGGTAGGAGGCTCCTTGTTCCCTCCTCACTCAGCCAACCCCAGCCTTCCCTGGGGAAGCCCTGCCCTCTGTTTCCACCGAGCATTGTGACCGAGTTCTTCCGTCTTATAAATATCACTTAACTATCGTGTCAGTTACTGGAACTCTTCTGTCCGGATAATTATTGCCATGCATTCAAGATTACTTCCGTCAAAGACCAGTTTCGGAGCCTATTAGCAGCCCAGAGCAGAGAGGCAATCTGGCTAACTGCTGATTTCACAGATAACTGCTTAACATCAGCCATGTGGCATCAGCCTGCCCCAGATACCAATGTCAGAAATAAGTTGTCAGCTTACATTTGTTTGGATTCTTGTTGTTTTGACCTGGAAAATTACCACTCCATCGGCTCTCTACCACAAGGAGATGTGGGCCTTGTGCTGCCCCTCTCTGAGGATCTGTAGCTCTTTCTAAAGGCATCTGTATTCCCTAGTATAACTTTGCTCTGAAACATCCCTTCACATCCTTGGAGTTCTCGGAAGCACCTTCACTCCGGGTGAGCCAGGCCCGTGGAGAAGCATTGCTTCTTCCTGGTGGTCAGACATGGCTGGTCATTCCATAGCCTCGTTCCTTTCCAAGAGGAAGGACTAAAATGGCACTGCTGTGGTGGCACTGCCAACCCAGTTTCCCAGGCTTGACCAGTTGGGGCCACCTGAAGGCAAAAGGCAAAGCAGGGGGCAGTGGGGCCCTGCCACAGCCATTGGTCCTAAGCGACCCGTCACTTTTCCCAACTCATGGAAGAGACATGACCAAATATTAAGTAAGTTTGAATTTATTCTCATCAAATGGTGTTTTCAACTCATGGTCTCCACAGTCTTTCTGCTTCAGAGTTGTTAGGAAAGCAGAGTTTACCTAGTAGCAGTGATCATTCAGGAAGGGCCTGAATCAAGTTCTCATGCTCATGGAAGAAAGCCGAATCGGCAGAAGTCTCGGGAGCTGAAGTGAAGACTGGCGTCCCAGAGGTCTTCTCCTGGATACCCTCTCCTCAACCTTTGTCAGCTCCTTTGTACCTTGTTGACCCCTCAAAGCAAGTTTTTAGAAATTCCTATGAGACATCATCCCGCAAGAGGGCCCTGCTGAGCTCCACCCCCTACTCCCTGCGTTCTTTCAGCAGGGCCTCTGAGGCATTGCTGTCCATGTCTGGCCTGCTACAAGATGTGCCCAAAGCGGCAAAACCTGTAGTAAGTAGCGGTAACAGTGACAGAGCTGTCTCTAGAAATTACCCACTGGGTATCTTTCACTAAGGAAGTCATTCAAGGCCTCATGGTTGCAGGTCATTACCAAATCAATGGAAAGGGGGCCGGGTAAGGTGCCCACTACACAGAACATGCTGCCCCGTGTACAGCGGTAGATGGGAAGGCCTGGCCCAACTGTCTTAGCCAAGGGCAAATCACCTGCCTCTAGGAAGCAGCTCTTCCCCTTCCAGCCCCCATTACCTTCTCTGGCAGCGCAGGTGGTGCATGCATGGTCGTAGCCAATGAGCCATTCACTTCCTGTAGATGCCTAACATCTCTCCATATAAACTGCCAAAAGTCGAATGCCTCTGTAATGATTCTACTTAGTTTGGGCTAATGTTTGCAGAGCTCCCTCATGGACACAAGTCTTAATCCATATGTTCACCATTATTTTAGTCAAGCATCACCATGATCTTAAAAGTGGTTCTATGGTCAAACCCACTTTAAGTCCCATTAGCAAATATTTTAAAATTAATTTTAGCTAAATTAGGGTCATGGAAGGAACAGGTAAGGTTTTGAAAATTTTGCTGCCTGACAAAAATTGGCATAGGGCCAGATTTATGAAACAAAAGATAGAGAAGATGACAAAGATTATCACACTGGCAAATGTGGGCAACGCAGGGGAGGCGGAGCAAGGAGAACTGTGTTGACTTCTACCATTCTGGGAAATCAAACCACTTGAATGCTTGCTCATCTTCGGTTTGTTGCTTTGAGATACTGTAAATCCATATTTCTAGACACTGACTGAAATTGACCAAGGGGAAAACATAAATTCTTGTTGACTTAATTTGCTATTGAAAATTGTAGTCAATAATCATGAAAAGTAAATGGCTGCACAGTGCAATATTAGTTGTCTAAGAAAAGATTAAAATTCAAGTAATCTTCATAGATTAGTCGAAGACAGTAACTAAAATGAAAATCCATGACCCAATTACCATGTTAAGCAGTTAGCATAAGATTTTAGTTGTTCTCTTTTATTTGAAGTCTCAGTCTGTTTGATGGTGCCCATTTAATGGGCACATAAATCAGTTTGAAAGCACAGGAGTACTGCTGGGACTGTAGATGTCTTGTGGCAATATGACAAAATGTTTCTCAAATGCAGTTTTGTGAAATACATCAGTACTGCAAAATAACAACTTACGGGCAGGGGCTCATTATGCCTTGGCGTTGGGATGGAACAGTTTGAATGTACAATTCGTCATGTGTCACAAAAATATTAGTACATGACTTATTTCTAGGTGATATATAAGCATAATACTTCTTAGGAAAATATCATTCCCCTAATTGTTTATTGTACCATTTATTGTGCAGTTATGCAGTCAAGTCCTAGGGCAAAATAAGTAGGAACCATCCTAAAAAATCATGGGATTAAAAGTGGCATTGAATTTTCCAAAAAATTCTAATTAAGAGTAATCTTGAAAGGTTGCAGATATCACTGTAGCATGCTTCATTAGACATCTGCATTCATCATGAAGTTCTGCTTCAGAGACGTGTTTTTATTCTTGGATACATATGCTTGCATTTTTCCATAACTAAAGAGAGGGATCTCACTATAAAGACATCTATGTCTACATGCATTTTTATATAGACCCTTCCCCACAGGTAAAGGACCATCCACTAAAATACTACATTAGCTGGAAGTACCTGCATCATGGAAAAAATCAGAATAAAGGGAAACAAAACTTTATGACAGGCTACACTTTTTGTTTACACAGAGGTAATTCATCCAGGAGAGCAAATAGAAGAAAAGAAGAAAAGCTGTTCCCTCCTCCACTTTCCCCACTGCCAGAGGATCCTCCCCGCCGCAGAAATGTCAGTGGCAGCAATGGTCCCTTCAGTCAAGACAAAAACATCCCTGTGATGGGACAGATCACCTCTACCAAATCTAAGAGGAGTGAAGGAAAATTCTGTGCTACTTTCAAAGGGATATCCGTACATGTAAGCCTCTTAGGTGAAATATTATAATCATCAGACGGAAACAATTGGCCTAGCTTATCGAACTGCATGTGACCCCATGGGGCTGTTGCCAGGGGGTGGGAGGAAGAAGCAGAGAAAATGTTAAAAGTGTGTGTGTGTGTGTGTGTGTGTGTGTGTGTGTGTGTGTGTGTGTGTGTGTACAAATACGCAAATTCTCCATTATTTCAAATCTCAATTATTCTAATTTAGGATGAATTTTGCATTCTCACAGATTATTATGTAGAAGCCCAAGGCCTTGAACATCCTTTGGCCCGATCCCTTCATATCCTGAGGGGGGAAGACACTTCCAAAATACTGACCAGAGCATCTGGCGCCTGGTCAGCACCAGTCCTTTACTGAATGAAAGAACAGCGGGATGAGTGGGATTGCCCGAGGTCACTGAACTGGGTCTGCTACTGCAGGTTATGTCTTTCCACCACCCAGCTTAGCAGGTGTGAGTTGTATTTTAAAATGGTGACTAAAAAGGATGGAGTTTAAAGGCCAAATCTGTTGTTAAAAAAATCCCACCATTGTGGTTCTAAACCCAGCTAAAGGATTATCCAGTCCTTTGGATTTTCTGCACTGCTGCTCAGTGAACAGAGATAATTGAGAATCTGTATCACTTTTCACATGCACACACAATATCTTTTCATCTACTTCAGATATTAGTGCCTGAACAGTGGAAACCATAAGCAGTAGTGTCCTAAGTGAACATTCGTGACAAATATAACTGCCTTTCCATGTAAATGCATGTATATGCAGATGCAGCTTCCACATGCACCTCATCTCCTTTAAGTGTAGCATAAAAGCAAACAAGTGGAAATGAATGAGTTTTCAAATGTCTGGTGCCAATTGGTGGACCCTGACCCAAAAGTGCCCATTTTATACTCCATGAGAATCCAGGAGGCCTCTGAACCTTAAGGACCCCAATTTAGAGCCCTCCATCATCTGTGATGACATGCAATCTCTAGGAAAATTTCATCCCTGATATAAAGAAATTGCTCTATTATAAAATTGTCATTTTCCATGTGAAATTTATGTGTGTGCCCACATAATATTTGCATTCACATTTAAAGAAGATGACTCTAATGTTAGGAATTCAACCATCTATTCTAAACAGTAATTATACTATCCATCCTATTTTTCATAGTCAATGTAATTAATATTAAAAACTCCAACTGATGCATGCTTCTATTACAGGCTTTGGGAAGGCATATACTATACACCATACTCAGGCAATTCTCTTTGTACCATGCCTAGTAGATTGTCACCAATAATTAGGTGCTTAATATGGATGTTATTATGATAATGATAATGCTTACAAGAATCTGCAGAGTCATTTCCACAAGAGTTAAAAACTACTGTGGAAATAAGATCACATTTGCATCTAAAACTGGAATGTCCTTCTTGGGGAAACCCCTGGGGACCTCCATGATAGGACTGAGTTGCAGCTCCGTCTTCTTTGGCCACTCATTCTTTCTATTAATGGCTTGAAATTCAGGAGACTTTGCGGTATATTTTTGCGCTAGCCTGGGAGTTAAGACACGTGACACATAGTGCTAACACTGCAGTCATTCACTCTGCGACCTTGGGCAAATTATGAAACCTCTCGGAGTCCATAAAGTGAGTAGATTTGACTAAATGTTTTATAAGTCTTCTTGCAGCTCCAGGAGTGTTTTTGATTGTGTACTCTCAGAGCCTTCACTATTCTCTGTATGCACGAAGTCCTGTTTATTGACTCACTGTATGGCTGGTGTAGACAGAGGACATGTTTATATAATTTACATGATCATGGCTAAATGCAGCCAGTTCCAGTCACATGTGCCAGGACTGACATCAATGCCATGTGTGTAGTAGACATGGTGTTTCAGGCTTCTTGACACATTTCATGGCCACAGAGGCAAGTGTCACTGTCTGGTCTGGGCCATCTGGCTTTGGCAGTAGAAATGTGGAGCTGACTTAGGAGTTTCAGAAAGCTCTGGTTATGTTATGTGTTTGGGTTGAATAAAATCCATGATGTTTTGAACTACTCTCTCCATATCCGTCACAACAAGTTTTAGATGTGTGGCCTCTCAGCACATTTATTTTAGTGAGTTCTCAGTCATCAGAATTTTTTGATAATCAGAAGGTCCAAGATCAAGTGAAAAAGATAAGACTTTCATGGATATAAGAAATGTTCACATTTGGCTTTTCTCTTTTAAAGGACCCTTTTTTACTAAGGCATGCATGCATGCATGCATTCAGCCAATACTGAGCGCCCTGGGCTGTGGAGTGAGGGTGGGGTTGGGGGTGGAAGGGAGGGGGCTCCGGTCCTCAAAGAGCTCTCAAGCTGAGGTAAGCAATGAGACCCATGCCCCAAGAACTAGAATATAAAATAGCTGGTGAGCGGTGTCATAGAGAAGGGATCGAGACAGACCCTTCAGGTCTTAACGGGACCCAAGAGGATTAAAGCTCTTCTGGCTGTAGATGTCGGGCAGTTTTCCTGGAGAAGGCACTTGTTGAGCTGGGCCTGAGGAGATGCAGAAGGCTTAGAAATGAAGGGAACCTGGCTAAACAAAATATGGTCTCTCCATACACTGGAATATTATTCTGCCTTAAAAAGGAAGGAAAGTCTGTCACATGGTACAACCTGGATGAACCTTGAGGACATTATGCTCAGTGAAGCCACATTAAGCTAAGCCAGCCACAAAGACAGTTACTGTCTGTTCCCCTTAGATGTGGTACCTAGAGCAGTGAAATTCACAAAGGCAACGTAGAAAGGTATTTGCCCCGGGGTTAGGGAAAGGAGGAATGGGGAATTATTTCACGGGGACAGAGTTTCAGTTTTGCAAGAACAAAGTGTTCTGGAGATTGGGTGTCCAGTAACATGAATGCACTTAACATGGCTGAACTGTACCCCTAAAAATGGTCAAGATGGTAAATTTGATGTTATGCGTATTCTACCACAATTTTTAAAATTAACAGAGTAAATTATCACAAGGTGGGGAAGAAAAGCAAGGAGGGGAAGGCGTCCTCAACCCTAAGACTCCATAGGAACCAAAGCAGGAAAGCGAGGAAGGCGGGATGTGTTCAGCCGGGTGGCAGGCCCATGGGAGGGAGTGGTGGGAGCCAGTGAAGGGGCTCAGCCGTGGGGTTGCGTTGGCCCACAAGGCAGTGAAATGCTTGGAGCTTTCTTTAGGAAGCTCAGGCTGCCAGGCAGCAGATTGTAGGTGGGTTGGGGAAGTTACTTGGAGGTCAGAGTCTGGCCAGGAGGCTTTTTGATAGTGTCGTTCAGAAGCCATGTGGGCCTGCACCCTGAGGACAGATTTGAGAGCTGTCAGAGAGTACAGTGAATAGGACTTTGTAACTGATTGAATAAGGGTAATGGAGAGGAAGAAATGAAAGATGAGACAGAGCAGGGGTTTTCAAAAAGAGTTTTAGGAGTATTATCATTTTCTGAAATGATACAATTTACTGAACTTCAAAATATAAAGCTGATTAAAACAGAGCAGCTCAGATGGAAGGCAAGACGGGGAACACACCAGTTCCCATGCTCCTGGCCCAGGAGTGACCACAGTGTCCTCACTGACATGGAGAGACCCAGCTTTGGTGACAGGAAAGGGCATCCTGCCATTCATTTTCAGAAAGAGGGAACTGGTTTGGTTATCCATTTGGTTGCAGAGCAATTTGAGGGGCTAATGGACCATCTTGGTGGAACTATCCAGAGGTGGTCACTGCAGGTCTGGAGCTTCAGAAAGAGGGCTCCACTGGAATCCTCAGGATTGAGGTGGCTATTTGGGGGCATTACCTGCTTATTGTCGCATCTGTGCCAGTGCACACAGGATTGGCAGGGTCAGGAAAGAAGACAGCTGAGGAATGAATTTTGAGCGATACCAACCTTAAGGATTAGCAACTCAGAAGAGAGGGAGGAATAGGCACCATGGCAGGCAAGGTCAGACGTAGAATAGTCCGCTCGTTGCACCGTTGACAGGTGAGGAGGGCAGAGTCTGCCATGTGCGCACAGCAGGTGGTCCCATGACACATGCTGTCACATAATTCCAGACCTCACCACCTGCTTTCTTCATCTGGATCCCAGTGTTTCTACGACAATGATAGTCCCGGGTGAAACTCAGAAGTCTCTTACCATCTGATTTTGACCTGGTTGAAATGAGCTTTCACCATCCCAAGACCTCAAAATGGGGAGGCACTCATGTGGCATTCACTCAGCTGGAAAGCAGTCGAGGCCTCACTGAACAACAGGGCGGCTTTCACCTCGGTCCCAGGGTGCCAACTGTGGCAGTACAGCGTGGGGTCTGGTACTGGCAGAGTGACCCGAGGCCTTTACTCACCCTAGAGAAACTTCCCAGGCTGGTTCCCTTATCCAAAATATACACGCATCAGGGCCATGGCCCGTTCTCACTCCCTCACCCTCTCTTCTCTCTCCTTCCTCCCCCACCGGGCTTAGACCTCTGCCAGCGGCTGTGCTCATGGGGTGAATGGCAGGGTTATGGAATCACAGCGCCTGACTGGCTTGGTGTTTGGTGTCATCACAGAGCAAAAGCTGCTGATTCATGGGGGTCGTAAAATATACCAGGGTCACTTATTTGTCCTGCAGCTGTGCGCATTGCTTTCTCTTCTCTTGCCTGGTCTCCTGGTATGCTTGACATGCAAAGCATGTATGAAAAGATGTTCCAAAAAGCAGGACCTAATGGAAGTTATTTGTCGTCCTTTTTCCCAGGAGGGAGACACTCCAAAAAAGGCAGTCTCTGCCACCGTCACTATCAGTAACACTGGTATTGCCACTGCCACTGTCACTGCTACCGCCATTGTCACCGCCACTGTCACAGCCACTGCCACTGCCACAGCCACTACCACAACCACTACCACTACCATTTCCACCATCACCTCCACCATCACTACTGGCCTCATGGACAGCAGTCACCTGGAGATGACGTCCTGGGCAGCCCTGCCCCTTCTATCCAGCAGCACCACCAATGTCCGGAGACCCAAGCTCACTTTTGATGACTCGTATGTTGTCCCCAGATTATCTTGGATACCGTTTGGGAGTGGTGAACGGGGGGAGGGGAGGCGCATGGCTATTCCAGCACCACGCATGAGGCTCCCAAAGTAAGACCTCCTATAGCCTTAGAAGTGTGTCCCTCCTATCCCAGACGCCTCTATCCCAAGAAATGTCTTTGGCCCATTGGAAGCATGGAGCTGTTTCCACAGGGAGGAGCATCACTCTGCCTTGCTCCACCTCCTTTCTTATCCGTGTCCTCAGTGTGCCCACACACAGGTCTTCAGCTGTGTTTGAACAATGGAGTGGGTGGACTTGAGGATACGCTTATTTATCCTAATGGGCCATTGTGCACCTCAGATTTTATTTCTAGGCTTATTTCGAGGTTGGTCACTATAGGAATGACCGCGTTCATCTGCCCGTTTCAAGACATTGTATAGGAAAGGATTTGTAGCCAAAAAACGTTTGGCTATTCAGCCTTTTAATGAAGAGATGAAACCGTGGTTTCTAAGAGAGCTCGTTTTATTTGTCTAGGGTTCACAATGCTGATTATTACATGCAAGAAGCTAAGAAGCTGAAGCACAGAGCTGATGCGCTGGTAGGTTTCCTGCCTCTCCTGGCTTTTCATATATGCTTTGAAGGAAAACACAGGTACTTTACAAACAAGTCAAACTTCCTCGCTGCTGCTCTGACACAGAGAGGTTGGGGCCGGTTAATCCCTCAGCACCGCCAGCCCCAAAGCTCTGTGGGCGCCAAGGTGCCTTCCCGCTGCTGTGTTCCCACTGCCCCTCCCCAGCCTCAGAAGCTAAAGGGCACAGACGCTTGCTGTCACCTTTCAAGTGAATTTGAACTGACTTTTGTAAAGGCCCTGGAGACCGTGGGAGCTCCCACTGATTCCAGTAAACCAGAACTGGTGTGGGCTGGCAGGGAGAGGGTTGCTGGGAGCTGGTTTAATAACCCCCAAAATTGGCTTTGGGGAACTTGGGGCCATAGACATCATTCAGCTCCTTGCTGCATTTGAAACATGTTTCTAGAGTGAGGCCCACAGCTGGACAAGGACCCTGTGCAGAGAACGGTGTGTCATCTGGACTTCCCAGGACATCGGCCCTGCCACCTCCAAGGGTTTTGGCCACCTAGGTCAGCCATGAGCTCAGGACATTGAGTTTGACTTGACTGATCCTCCTAACAGGGAGTCTCAGCCACATGTCACAGTCACGTGGGGGGCTTTCAAATAACCCTGATGCCTAGGCCGTACCCCAGACAAGTGGAATCAGAACTTCTGAGACTAGGAGCCAGGGCCTGGCTGTTAAAGCTGCTCAGGTGATTCCCAAGTGCAGCCACATTTGAGAACCACTGCCTTAGAGAAGGTCCTAAACTCAGGCCCCTCACCTTTAACTATACGCCAACACAACTCAAGGCATCAGTTCAACGCCACCGTGTTTAAAGCAAAAAGTATCCCCACCAATGCATCGTGTCCTGCCAGGACCTACCTGCACTATGACTTGTGTATGACCAGCATCAACTGGCCAAGGCCCTTGCATGTGCTACTTCCCTCCTTTCTGTCATTTCCCTACTGTGGCTCCAAATTGTTCAGCTATTGTCTACGGCTAACCTTACTGAACTGTCCCTTGGAAGCTATTGTCCCCTGCTCCTGCAGACAAAAATGACAAGACAGGCTGGTGCCGATGCCACTAGAGATGCTGGGAACACTGTGACTGTGTCCATTGTCTGGGCAGCAGAGATTTGAAAGGCGTTGGGTGGCAGTGCTGCTGCCTTGAAGAGCAAAGGTTTTCTCTGAGTGTCCTCAACTCCGCAGCAGTGCACAAGGGCTCGAGTTCACCCTCTGTCAAAATCAGGGCACAGGAGTACAGAGATGTTTCCCTGACAAGCTGGTTCATGAGCTGATGAAGCCCAGGACACACATGTGAGACCGTGTAGGTGAAATGTTAGAAGAAATTAAAAAACTCAGAGCCACAGAGATATATACACATGATTAAGAATCAATACTCTCTACCTTCCAGGATCATGTTTATGTGTCCCCCTAAAATCACTTTTGGTCTAATCCATTGAGAGGATGCATTTTCACTCAGGGAGAATTCTGTCCCCACAGGGGCAAAACTGGTTTGGGGAAATGAGCTGGAAAAGTCTTAGAAATTGCAATGGTGTATAGCCCTCCAAAGGGCCTCAGCACGTAAAGAAATAATCAGCATATCTTTGTTATTACAATTTCAACTGGGGCATGTGAAAAAATATGTTAAAGAGCTCCCTCAGTTGTGGTAGGGGGGAAAATGGTTGAGAAACACTCACTTAGAGGAAGCTGTCTTTGCTAGGATTATGTCTGTACTACAACTGGAAGCCCCCTTATACTTGAAGCCTCCCATTTTGTGTATGGGGCAAGTGAGGCTCAGGAAGAGGGTATGACCTGGTCACTAATTTGCACTAGGGCCACGTGATTTTTCTCTCTGGACAAAAAGAGGTTTGGGTTAGGAGATCTTCAAGGATCCTTCCAGCTATGAGCTTGTGAATGTAAAGTCATATTCAAAAATGAGGATGTGAAAATTAATTTCCATATGGGAGAGCTAGCCCGAGCCGAGGGCCTAAGGAAATGATCTTGTAAGGGAAGAGAAGGAGATAGTTTGCACACACACACATAGGTTTGTATAAAATCACTTTGAGTGTGGTTGAAACCAATATTTTTCCACAGCAGCTTACAGAGAGGAAAGCAGAGAATTCCCACAGTAGATAAGAGCCAAAGAACATTTACTGTAAAGAGAGTCATTTACAATAAGATTCGGCAGGACCTATAACTCATCGTTTTAGAGTTGTACTTAATCCTGCCATTTTGAGAATTGAAAGCTTCACAGTTGCATAGAAAATATTTTGATAAAAGGTATACAAGAAAATTAAAATAGCTCAATCTGCATTATATTGGTCCTTTTCCATAAAAGTCCATATTAGTGGAATTCCTACATTCAGCTATCAAAAATTGAAAACGTTAAATACTGTTATAAAATTCGCACTATAAAAGTGTCATATATAATATTCATTACACATAAAAAAGAAATCAGTATGTCCAAGTCAGTTTAATCATGACCATTATCAGGGCTAAAACCTTTTGCCATAAAATTTTACTAAACTAAAATATTTAGTAGTGCTATATTTTTTGGCTTTTTGACACACTGTTTCAGACCATCATTTATAATGAAAGTGATGTGATTACTGTCAACAGTCACACTCCCGCTTCACATTTTTCATGACAATAGCATCAGTTTGTTCCTCTTCTTCTGGGGGTGGGGTCAGTGCGTTCACAAAGACAGCATGTGTCAGTTGTCTGTGAGGCTTATAAAGAGCACAGTTTCATTGCAAGCTCTGTCTGTGGCACACTGCAGTGACCAGTGTGGTAAATTAAGTGAATAGAAACTAGTCAAGGCAGTGGTTTGCGTTGTGGTCCACCACAACTTGGGGTATTACCACCACGCAGGGTTCCTCGGCTGCACTTTTCTCATCTCAACCAGCCTCAGTGTCATGACAATGGAACCTTAAATAAGTTACGTATTTGTCAACACAAATGCGTCCATTGTCCCCCCCTCTATATCAGTTTCTCAACCTTGGCACTATGGACATCTTGCACTGGGTAATTCACCATCATGGGGGCCATCCTGTGCATTATGGGATGTTCAGAGTCTCTGGTCTCCACCCACTAAGCAGATGCCCTTGTCCCTAGCAATGACCACCACAGTGTGTCCAGACATTGCTAAATGTTCCCCAGGGGCGGGGTGCAAAGTTGCCCCAGATTGAGAACCAGTGCTTTATATGAGGGAGAGAAAAGGGAATCTCATATTGACGAGTCATCTTCCTGTTTCAGTTTGAGAAATTTGGCAAAGCCGTGAATTATGCAGACGCAGCCCTGTCCTTCACCGAATGTGGCACTGCGATGGAGCGCGACCCTCTGGAAGCAAAGTCCCCGTATACCATGTACTCCGAGACGGTGGAGCTCCTCAGGTTAATGGCCCTTCGGCAGCCATCTTTCTAAGCTCATCTCAAAATTAGAAGCTGCAATGGTTTTAAAAACTCTCCTTTCCACAAAGTAGTCATTGTAGTCATTTGTCCTAGGCATCTTCTCAGAAGTCAGCATAATTAGTTCTTGCCATTTTATTAATGTCATGGAAAATTTATAATTGATGGACACTGCTTTTATAAATTATCCCTCTCAGAGGTTATAATGTAAGTGTTATAATTTGCAATATTCATAAAGTTGAAATGGAAACACAGTGGGTAGAAGTAAAGTATAATGATTTCACCATTTGGCATTGACACTTGTCTTGGCAAGGTGCAGTTTAATAACTCAAAAACAGGCAGTGCTATCTGAAGTCCTGTTATAAGCCATATTTTCTATGAATTTCTGCCACAGTTATTAAAAAGGGAGAGGGCACTGTTCCAACACAAGTCGGCATCTACGGCTGCAGGTGTGGAGGCCACTTTGCACACATCTGGAATGGGAGGGAAACAGACAAGGTGGTAGCAGGGCCCAGAGTAGAAATGAGAAGATGACAGTGGGTCTGGTTATGTCTGCTGCACAGATTTTTTTAAATGAAATGGTTTGGCCTGTTGGTCTTGCTGGAGTAGAACTTGTGTGGGTCATCAAAATTTCCAGGAAGAGGGAAGAGAAGAAATAATAGCCGCTGTCGTGTTTTCCACTAACCTGCAGATATTTATAAAATAATTTAATCCACCTCTGAATAGTGGATAAGCACCATCGTTCACCAGATGGACTAAGTAATTGCTTTTGATTGACTGAGCAGTTCTTGACCTCATAGTTCTTTATGCCCAAGTCACCTCTGGCTGGATTAATCGATAATGCCAGGCCTCGTGTTTACTATGTTGCCTGTATATGCATAAACTGTTACAAATCTGAGGATGCTTGTATTTAAACCTCCAGACAAGCATGCATATTTTCCTGGGAAAGCATTCCAAAAGATCAAAATAATGGGGACTATTATAAGGAAAACAAAACTATGAGCACATAGAATCAGAAGGTTTAGTTAAAGCCACAAAAGTAGGGAGGTTATGAGAAAACTCCAGCCTTGCCTTGCCGGGCCAGGCAACCATCTCTGGCTTTTCACTCTTCTGAAAAATCTGGAAATGGGCTTTCTGACTTCTTTTATGCACTGTGAGAGCCCCCAGTGCCATTCTGTAGCTTGTGAGGGGAAATTGATTTCTCAGTGTCTACTCAAGGCAGCCTGTGATTTTTCAAAGATGAAAATTCTGGCAAAGATTATAAGGATTAAAAATTGAGGGGAACCATTAATGAGCAAACATGGAGAAAATTCATCTAATGGTGTGAATTTTTTAAAGGCACTTTTTAAATTAGCAAGAAACTATAAAAATGCAATACCTCGGACTGGCACACATAAAAATAATGGTGAGCTAGGCCTCTCCTATGCTGGTGAGGGGCAGTGGGAATTGATCTTTGCAACCTGAGGGCAATTTGTGGTGTGTAGGAAAACCTACACAAATGGGCACTCATATCTTTTGAGCCAGTAGTTCAACTAGAGGAAATTGGCATTTCCTCTGCTGAAGGAAATAATTGTAAGGCTAGAACAAGTTATCTGTATGGTGTTGAGTTCAACATATATTATAGCGCACAATTAGAAGCAAACCAAATAATAAAAGACGAGTATTTAATTATATTATAGTACACTCAACAGGATCCTTTGCAGCCATTGAATTGCAGCAATCACAGAGGCCAGGCAACTGCTTGAAAGTGTTTAAATATGACGTTAAAGTAAAAAGCAAGCTGCAGAATTAGGTACCCAATACATTTCTGACCATGGAAGGCATGTTTCCGCATGTAGACCAACCTGGAAGGAAAATGAGATCATAGCTGAAATGGGAGGAAATTATGGTTCTTTTCCCACTCTCTGTATTTTTATTTCTTATTAATTTTATTTTAGGAAAACCCATGCTCTCTTTAAAATATAAAAGCAAAACATCAAATTTCATTTCTGGTAAAAGTGCAATGTGAATCATTGAGTAATATCTATTTCCATTAGAAATCACTTTTTCCTTAATTATTTTAAAAAAGCTTCTTTTTGTCTCAGCACAGAATTTTTTTTCATGATATGACAGTTTATTCTCCATAGGAGTTTATTTCAGTGGAACCTGGCAAAGTCATTGGCAAATTTAGGGACATTCACTTTAAAGTCATAAGTCTTAAACTTTGAGTTAGTTGTAGATTCACGTGCAGGTGTAAGAGATGATACAGAAAGTTCTGTGTACCTTCCCCCGATTCCCCCCAGTGGTGCTATCTTGTGTAAGTGTAGTACAGTATCATAATCCAGACGTGGGCAGTAACGTCATCCATGAACTGTATTCAGATTTCACTGGCTTTACATATGCTCCTTTGTGTGTCTTCTCTTTATGTATATTTTTTGTATTTTCTGTATACTTCTGTATCAAAAGTATGTCACTTTTTTTTAGAGAGAAATCTCAGTAGGGAATAAAATGGGCTAAAGCAACTAGGTATTCGAGTCCATTTAAGCAACTGAAGTTCCACTATCAAGTCTCTTCAAAAGTGGTTGCAGTAGAGGGTGAGCGTAACAGGAACATAATTTTTAGTCATGTAATATTATGTTGAAGAGATTTTTATTACCCTCTCCTCTACAGTATGCTGGCTACAGAGAGAGCCCCATTTTCTTCATTCACATCATCACAGTTGCTCTGAGCCTTGGGAATCTGCAATAGAAATGTATTTGTGAAAACAAGGGGGCATCACAACGATTTGACATTTCAGTTATCCAACTGTCAAGGACAGTTAGATTTATTATCTAATAAAAATCCTTTTGCTAAACTGCAACAATAGGAGGCACCCATGTCAAGTGCACAGGTCCTTCTGTTGGAAAATGTTCACTCAGAGCTGGAGGAGTCCAAGAGAGCAGGGCGGTGGAGCATGCCAAGGGGTCGCAGAGTCTGGGGGCAGGCCCAGGGCTGCTGGTGTTCTAGGGAAGCCAGTACAGTGTCCCTGCAGGCTGTCCATTGCCTTCTCATAGATGAGAACTAGTCCAGGCTGCCTGCACCCCTTCGGCTTCCTTCTGCAACACTGAACTCCCATTACTGATTCCACCACGGGTACCTGTGAAATTGCATTAAAGCTCAGACAATGATTTTATGCAATGGATTGATTTTCGAGAGTCTAAATGGAATGTGTTCAGCTATAAGAAAAAAATGGGAACTGCTCAACTTGGATCACCCCAGTGTGGAACAGTAGCAGTGAAAGAGAGTGGGAAGACACGCTGTACATGCGCCAGACGTTAAAGGTGCTTAGACCTTCAAATGCTGTGAGATTGACCTTCATTTTTTAAAAATAAAACCACTTTCTATAGGAATACATCCAAAACCTGAGCCATTAGAAGAGACTTTTTAAACCGTGGGGTTGTGGTCTCCCTGTGCTTGTGTTAGACAGAGGCGTGAATTATTTACCTCGTCTGTCATAAGCCCAGCTGAGACTGACATTGGTGTCCACCTCTCATTGCAAACCAATAATACCAATAATGTCATTGAACTAGAGTGTCCCTAGATACAGTACTTTACAAGCATTACACACATACATGTGAAGCTAACAGTAATTCCCTAGCAGTGTCCCAGAATGTGCGCTCTGGATTTAGCTGACTTCTCCATAGGTAACTTCAGTGTGTCATTCTTCTGGTCGTCATGTTGTACACGTTTTCAGGAAGGCATGCTTTTGCCCATGTGCCCTCGCCAGTCCTCCCCTCCAGAGCAAGTGTGGGGTGATGAGAATGCCAGTGACTTCGGGACTTTCCGAGGCGAAACACAGATTCCACTTAGTTTGTCCTTTCTCTTCAAAGGTATGCAATGAGGCTGAAGAACTTTGCAAGCCCCTTGGCTTCAGATGGGGACAAAAAGCTGGCAGTATTATGGTAAGGCTCATGGAGACCATGGGGAAATAGCTGATATGGCACAGAAGGATTTGAAAACTCCAGATCAACTTAAGCTGCTTACCCCAGATCATTATTCTTGTTTTCCATTAAACTATTAAAGGATAACTAATGGATGTCTTCAGTTGCTGACTAAACATTTACTCTTCTAATTTATACCCTTATCAAGATGGAATTTTCATGCTCACCCTTTCTCTTTTACAATTTTTTTCTTTTTTTACTTATGTGTCTCACCAACCATAGGAGAGTAACTGCAAAATATGAATCAGCATTTCTTCTTAGAGTTTATAGGTTTCATTAAGCATGGGCATTAACATAATCCTTTCCTCATCCCCGCAGCTACCGATGTCTATCACTTCTCTACTTGCGGATGTTTAAACTGAAGAAGGACCATGCCATGAAGTACTCCAGATCACTGATGGAATATTTTAAGGTAATCCTTATTTTGTATAATTTATAGATACCGAGTGAATAAAATCACTAATGAGACATGGCAGGCATGTTATTAAATGTCAAAGTTGTTGCTGCCAAAGGCTTAACCTCCCTTTTCCAAGCCGGCCATGGCCCTCCCACCTCTCCTCTGGGGCTCTGCAGAGCTTAGGTTGCATTTGATTGCGAGAGAAGGTACAATGGTGCAATCCCTGCTCACTTTCTGCACTGACCAAATGGCCCTTGGCAGCTTTCCTGTTGCTCAGGCTGGTGATGCCTTCTGCCCCTCCCTGCAGGGGACACACCTTGAGGCTGTAGCCATGGCCAGTCTTCTGTTAAATGAGAAGGTAGCCCAGAAGTTTCTCAGCAGCAAGAGAAGTCACTGTGGCCATCCTGGGCTCTGGGGTGACAGCCACACCCGTGGGAAGTCTTGGAAGTACAGTGGTTGCACTTTAAGACAATGGGTTGTTTTGTCACCAAAATAAACACACAAACAATAAGTAAATAAATAAATCCATCCATCCATCCATCATCTAGGGAGCTAGAGTTTTTAATTTGCAAGCAAAAAGAGATATTTCAACCGTAAAATGCAATGCCAGATTTTGGGAATGAGCCCAGATACAGGCTGCAAGCGGCAGCCTGGTGAATGCTAGGCCTGGCCACTGTACCAGGTGTCATTGGCTTGAGGGTTTGGGGAGCTTCTGCCCCACAACACTGGTCATGAGTTAGAGCTGAGGAGGCTTAAGGCTCCTGATAGGCACATCTCAAAAAGAAAAGGACAATTTAATTTATGTATTTACTTACTTGCCATGTGCATGAGACTGTTCAGCTAATTTGCACCAAAGCAGTTGTTTGCAATGAATCAAATCATGGCCTTACGTCAATCCTTTGGACACAGTGAGTAGCAGTGCACAGCTACATGAGGACACTGACTCAGTTGGTAAAAAGAGCAAGTTAGCCCCCAGTGTAGAATAGTAACAATGAAAGACAGTGGAAAGGTACTGTGTGGTGTGGCCATAGTACTCATGTAGGTGAACAGGGTTGGACACAATAGCTGCCCATTTCTTTATGTGCCTTTGGTCTCAACCTGTGCTCTACAGAGGTGGTTCTGGAACTTGAGTGGGCACCCCAATCCCCTGGAGAGCTTGTGAAACCAGGGTATAGATCCTACCTCCCACAGCATCTGATACTGCATGTCTGGGTCAGGACCTGATAATCAGCATTTCACGCAAGTTTCTGGGCAACACAGCTGCTCTTGTGATGGCACTTTGAAATCTACTGCTTCTATGGCTGTCCTCTTCAGCCTGTCCCATGTAGCCTTCGTGGCATTGGAAAATACCAAACATACCTTAAATAACTCACTCCTCTAGCAGTGCACTGAGTTTCGAGATAAAAAGTTGGAGTTTGCAGAACACACCTTAGGTGCAGGTCTCTGTGCTCCAGGTAAGTGTTGCATTTTCACTGGGCTCCTGAAAGTGCTGACTCTCCTCACAGCCCTCCCTGCCCTCCTTTGCAAAGGGGGCTGCCTGGAACCCGGGAGGCCGGGGAGGAGCATGACCTGGCCACAGTGCTGGAGAGGCAGGCTCAGTGCCACAGTGGGCTGGCCCTCTGCTGCTCGGGCTCCAACCTGGTGACGCCATTCTAACAAGCTGGACCACTGTCCTGTGGTGGTCCTAGTGTCGTATTTTTCTGTGCTCCACCAGTATATGGCCACGAAAATACAGGGAGCCCATTCTTTAAAGCAGTTCAGCTCCATCAGAGGGAAGAAAAATCTTTAGCATGCCACTGCTGTGCAGCCCTGGGCTGGTTGCACAGCCAAGCAGGGAAAACTGTCAACCTGGAGGATTTGCATGTAAAGACAGCAATCAAAGTGATTCACGCACACATACACACAAACCCACAAACTGCTGCTTGGGCCTGCTACATTCCTGAGAAATCAGAAATTACAGCCCACCTTACATCCGTGGCAAGAAGTTTACAACTAGAGCTAAAGGTGAAAAGCCGCCTGTACTCTGAAGAGCTTGTTTTGCAGAATAAATTTCAGATGAGGATAATTAAACCACTTCTTGGAGAACCGAGTCTGATTTCACTGGGCCTTTTAGTATATAAGATCTTTCATCAAGTGACTTTCATGGTCCTGATTGGAGCCCACTAATTATCCTAACCAGCTATTTTTATCGAGTGTGCGTCTTGGTGTGCAGACGGGCACATCCATCCCAGCTCCACTAACGAAACAGGAGGCATTCCGAAATGCTGCAATCAATATTAATGCACTCTAAATCGTACTTCCATCTGTTTCTGAATTAATAAAACACAGAATAGATGTCCTTATTTCCTTCTTTCTCTCTCTTTTAGCAAAATGCTTCAAAAGTCGCCCAGATACCATCTCCGTGGGTAGGCAATAGCAAGTAAGTACCCTCCGGCAATGGCTTTCTCAGAAAATCAGTGAGTTAATAGAAGACCCCAAATATTTTGAATGGACAACTCAGGAGCGAAGGTCAGTTCTGAGACTACGGTAGTTGGCGGCACACAAAATTCTAGTCAGGTTTCAGCTAATGGCAAGACAGAAAATCTTCATATGATGTGATTTCAAATTTCTTTACCTATTTGATCTTTAAACTTAATTATGGCCCCAAAAAATATCTGCTAATGAGATGGCAAGGACTGGGCCATTCCAAGGAGACAGGGTAAAGTGAACTCCACTGCAGCGATTTCTCAGTGATTCACTCATAATGAAAGACCAATGAAATATTCATGGATATATGGTAAGTGCTGTTTAATAAAACCCAAGGCATAATATTGCTGCAAATGTGAAGGCACTTAGTCAGCCAATTATCTGAGCCTCCGTGATGATTTTTATATTAATACGAAAATACCCTGACCTAAAATATGAAAGCATGTACTACAGCGCTGATCGAAGGCTGAATGAACCTACCCTTCCTGTGACCATATTCAGGGCAGGATGTGCACAGGGTAGCTGTCTTCCCGCGGTAGGGTGGCACTCAGGAAACTTGTCCCTCCTCGCTCTGGGTTTGTGTCTGTCTCTAAAATGAAAGGTCCGGGCCTGATGACATCTGGGGCTCATACAAAGAGGTTTGAATCCTAGTCCTGGCTCTTCTTGGGCATCAGTTTCTCCTCTGATTCCAGTGCCTCCCTCACCATGCAAGCCCCTTCCCCACCAGTAGTAGGAAGGGGAACTACCTGAGTCTGGACACAGACTTTCGCAAAGAGCTGCTTTTTCCATTTCTCCTCATTTCAAAATTCTTGTGTCTGTGATCAAAACACTTCCTTCAAGGGTAAAATTGTCTCTTCTGCTACTTTATAAAATATCTACAAAGCACACTCCCAAAGCATGGGATGGTGAACTCTGCCAGCGATCATAAAAACAACCAGAACGAGGGAACGGATCCCTTAAAAATGACACATTAACTCAATTACTGTACTGAAAGGAAGTACCGTTTAAATTGTTGAATTAGGTCTTACTTTTATATTGATGAACAAAAGCAAAAGAGCACTTCTCTCTGGAAGTTCAGAAAATAAAAATAACCATTGAAAGGTCCAGACAAAGCTGTTTTCTCTGAGCACAAAGTACAGCAGGGGCAACTTCTGGCAAGCAGCTGTTTAAGGGTCACTGGGACTTTTATTTCTTTTAATTCTGAAACGAAAGAACTCTAACACATCGTCAGCTTGTGAAGTCACATTAAAAGCCTCCTGAAATGATCTTTCAGGCAGCTTCTGTCTGCAGAAAGCACACTCCCTTCGGTGGGCCCTAGAAGCTTGTGAATGAGTGGCGCAGGGGTTACGTGCCACTCGTTGAGCACATGCTTCAGGTTCCTTTCCATATGAAGGGCTGGGAACCCAGAGCTGAATTCAGTGAGCTCTCTGCACACCAGAGGCACACAGTCCAGGGCAGGGAGGTGACAGGTATGAACAAAGTTCCGTGGGAGCCCAAGAGAATGCAAGCTTGAGTCTCCCCGGGTGCTCAGCGAGGGCTCCTTGTCAGCAGCAAGACTGTAGCCTCGCTTCCGCAGCGAGTGAGGGTGGGGGACTAGCTCCGCACAGGGCCTCTCAGAGCACCTTCCAGAAGCAGCACCCCTGACTCTGAGGGCCGGGGGGAGAAAGCGCACGGAAGCAGGTGGAAGGAAAAGAGGAAAACTATGCTTCATCTAGAGTAGGGGTGGCAAACTTTTTCTCTAAAGGGACAGCTAGCCAAGAGGCAGACAGCCAAGGGCCAGCCAAGAGGCAAAACTGAGGCTGTTCTACAGAGAGAATATAAGAGAAAAACAAATTTCTATAAAATCTCGCTGATGAAATACACAATATGGTAACAATTAAGTATAGTTTTTATAACAGAAATCTGAGGAGAAGAATGGGATTTCTTCAAATGACATTTTGCTTAATTGAGGTCCAAAGTTAGTGTTCCCGCTCATCAAATCAATTGCAAATATCCATCCTTTCCAACCATTTGTAGCTCACAGGCCGCAGAGAAACAGGTCGGGGGCCAGATTTTCTGAGCCCTGCTCAACAGTGGTGGAAGCCACACTGTGAGAGTTTAAGATGACTGTCACACAGAGAACGAAGGGAAAGAGGGCTAGGAAGGCCGTGGAGTTGGGAGGGACAGAGGCTGTTCCAGTTGCCAGGACGCTGTAAATGTTGCACTTACAGGCCTGGAATAGAAGGGGTATCCGACTTGTTTGAGACATTGGCCAGTAGAAGGATTGTGAGGGGTCTGCTGGTCACTGGAGGGAACATCACTTCACTTAAAACTTCTCCCCAGGCTTAGAGAGGGCTGTGCCTGCATGAACACAGGTGAGCCTGTGGACACGGTGGGGACAAGTCACGGTGGGCACAAGGGAAAGGATGGAGATGAACACCCATGTCACGCGAAATCTCTCGGAGACTAGAGGGTCCAACTTTGAGATCACATGGCAGAATGGAAAGAAAATGGACTTTGCAGGAAAACAGACCTGCTTTCAAATCCTGGCTCTTCGACTAATTTGCTGTGTGGCCCTCAGAAAGGAGCTAAATTTTCTGAGCCCTTCTGTCATCTTTCACTCACCAAGGACTTATTGAGCACCTACTATGGATGAGAGTCGGCCAGGCATTTTACAAACATATCCCTTGTCCTTGTACTATACATTGTTCTCTTCTGAGCCCCTCCAGAGCACCTTAGATCTAGCGGATATGAAATAATAATAGAGGGATGGCTGGAAGGCAGTTTGCTCATGTATTTAACTGGTATTCATTAGGTACATGGTGCGCACACCAGGCATTGTTCTAAATGCTTGGGGCATAGCGCTCCCATGACATAGACAAAATCCCTGCCCTCCTCCAGGTCACGTTCTTTTGGAGAAGAATGACAGTAGAAAACATGCTCTATGATCAATGTCATAGAGCAAATAGAAACAAGGATGGAGACAGAAAGCACTGCTGGGAGGTAGGGAGAAGCGGATCACACTGGAATAGGGACGTTAGGGAAGGACGGTGGGAGGGGAGGCCCTGCAGACAGCAGACAGTGGTGGCGTGAGTTCCAAGCAGAGGGACATGAGCCACCTCCTCTGCGGGGGGGGTGCCTAGTGAGGCCTAGGGCCGGCAAGGGGGCAAGTGGCTGAAGGGTGTGCTGGACTAGGGTACTAGGGGCCCAAATGGTGGAAGTGTGTGCATGTGTATGCACCCCATTTGCATGTGCCATGGACGCATGAAGCAAAGGCCAAGGTCTGCAAACAGACCCACAGAAAGAACGCAGGGCAGGAAACTGCACACAGTGCAGAGAGCAAGGTTGGAATTGGAGGCGCTCAGTGATGGACCCTGCGGCCGCCCTCTTGCAGCCAGAGAGGCAGCTCCTCAGGCAGGCTTCCATGCTGCCATTTCCTTAGCAGAAGGCAGTGTGCAGGGATGCTCACCCGGACGTCAGTTCACAGAGCCTTGGGCACAAGCAGTCAATCAAAGCCAGGCCCCAGCTCTCCTTGCCTCCATGACGGATTCTTTATGGGAAAGGGCAGGCATGGAAGGCAAAGCAACCCCTCAGTAACACTTCAGTGTCAGGAACTAAGAAGGCCTTTTCAAGATGTACAGGGTCAACGGGTGATTTATTCCCCTGTGCTTTCTGGCCATGACTGGAAATTACTGAATCCACCCTTTGCTTCCAGGCCCAGCGAGAGGAAGGGCACGCTTGGGAGCACACAGCAATTCAGGGTAGGGCTAGGGCGGGCATCCAGGTCTCCGGGGATCCTGGTACTTCATTCCCAGCACCACACGTCCCCCCATTCAGTATCTGTGACACCTGACAGCTCTGTCATTTTCTCTGGAGATTACAAATGAGGACATATTCCTTTCTTGCCTTAAACGGGCATTTAAGGTTTAATGACCACTGGGGGAAAAGAAAGTAGCATTGGCAACCTGCAACTACAAAGAGATGCAACATTCCCTGCCCTTTATTTTGTCATTAACTGACCCTTCGGTGCCTAGGTCCCTAAGCTTTGGACATCTCCCCACCTCACCCCTGCCTTGAGAATAAAATTATCAAGAAGTATCAGAACATCTCAGACATTATAAACAGAGCAGGAAAACCATACCCTCTTATACCAGACAAGAGCAGAGCACGTGTGAGGACCCACCTTCTCCCCCATTCCAGAACATACTAGAAGATAGATCACTGGCAGAAATGGAGCAAAGCTCTCACATGGCCGCAGGCACAGCCTGCATGAGTTGGGGCCCACACGGCAGTTGGAAGTGCATCCACAGTGAGTCGGCAGCACTGGGTGTTTTGGTACATGGTAGTTGCCATGCCTGAAGCCCATGGGCACAGTGCCTGCCGGGGCGCACAGCCACTCCATGAGCAGGGTCTGGCCAGGAGGAACTCGGCCACCTGGAAATTGAGAGCTGCCGACAGCAGCAGCTGGTAAAGGAGAGGGGGAGCCAGAGAAGTTTCCTTGATGGTGAGCTGCGGTGTGTTCAGATGAATGCGAAGGAGGTTCCTTCAAACAAGCAGACTCAGGGGGGTCCCAACACAACCTACCCCAGGCTCTTGTACTCCCCACAAATGTTCTGTCACAACAAAGGGGTGCGTTCGCCTAGGACCTCATTCAGAGTCAGCTGATGGAACACAGGGAGGCCAGGGCTGCACACAGACCTTGCTCCTGTACACAGGAAGCCACCCAGGCCTGTGGGACTCTCCCCAGACAAGTGTGCAGCAGGCCAACCTAAGTCCAGGCCCTCCATGTGACATGCAGCCAGCAGGTGCCTCCTTGTTGCTGACATTAAAGAATTTACAATCTATATCCAAACATTGATACTGCCCAAAGTAAGAGCTCCGAAGGCTTCTTTTTATAAGACAGCAGGCAGTTCAACAGTCAGCGGTTAACAGCCAGCCCTGTAGCACGTCCTAAAGAATCCTAAAGAGATATTAAGGGTCTTACTTCTTCCAGCTTCCGTAACACTGCTCCATGGGGTACTTTTAAGAATTGCACTTTGCTTATTGTGGTGACTGTAAGTTGGAGCAAACTGTCATTGTGGTTTCCACAAAACACTTTGATAATAGACCAATATTGCACATCAAGTCTTTTCTGACTGCCAGCAGCCATTCTGGCAGCAGGAAGCAAAATCATCATAGCTTTGAGCTGTTTCTTTCTCTGAAACATCACAACATTTCTTATATATATTCAAAGTAAGAGCTACATTTGTAGGTAGAATTAATGCCAGAGAGAGATTCACCCAGCTCGCTCGGATATTTCAAAACACAAGTAGCAATGTACACGGGGTCATCAGTGGTCACCAAAAGCAGCAAGGTTTCAATGTCTAATGTTAGAAGACAGGCAGCTCCTTCTCCAGCCTGGCACTGTAGCCCTGGGTGCGCTGATCCGATGAGGCCAGAATGGGGTGATAATAAGCTCCCTCTACAGGGAGCCTCTGGAGAAAGCTACTGTGTTGGCAAAAGCTATAGGATGTCCTCTGAGAATAGTCAGCAGGACCTGAGAACAAGCGTCACTGCACTTGGGCTTCGTAGGGGGGCAAACGGCGTTCTCATGAGGGAGCCTCGGACCCCGCTGCCACTGTTGCCCACCAGCCTAACAAGGCCTGTCTTCTCTTCCCATTCCCCAGGAACACTCCGTCCCCAGTGTCTCTCAGCAACGTCTCTCCCATCAATACGATGGGCAACTGTAACAACGGCCCGGTCACCATCCCCCAGCGCATTCACCACATGGCCGCCAGCCATGTCAACATCACTAGCAACGTGCTACGGGGCTACGAACACTGGGACATGGCCGACAAACTGACAAGAGAGAACAAAGGTACGCTCACCTGCCCCACCCATGGCGCACAGACCCCAGCGGGGGTCAGCTGTGCTCTGCAGGCCTTGGGTTTTCCAGGGTGGCCTTATCGTTCTGTCTCTCTGATTTCCAGGGTTTAAATGGGAGAAGAGCAGGTTAACTGAGGGCTGACACAGTGAGATTTTTGCTGAGAGACTGAAAAAGGTCTGGGCTTTTGTTTCTCTTTAAAGCTTCAACTAATCTGATCTGTGATGTGCTGGCAAATGACTGATTCAGATTTTCACTCACTGGTAAGGATCAACACAGGGAAACAGAGGCAAAGGAAAGAAGAATGATTTGTGAATTAAGATTGTGTTGGCTTTGTTGCCAACTTTAATTTTGGGCGGGTGTTTGGAGAGGTGAGGTCGCACAAAGGCCTACTTCCCTTACACCCATCAGCTCCAGTGAGCGCATGACAGTGGAGCTTGCTTGTAGTTTTGCATTTGGAAGCAAGAGCCGAAGTTCAGCTGGTATTTTTCACACACCGACAGCTGGGATGAAGGGGCAGGGGTCTGGTCTTGGTAACATGCAAGGTGTGCTACAGAACAAATGCAGGGGGAACCCTGCTTCCCCAGACAGGGAGTCGGCGGTCCTTGGAGACTTATGCAGCCATCTGTGAGGCGCTGGGAGGCCTGTGCCGCATCCTATACTCAGGCATGGGGCTGAACCAGCCTGAGATCAGAGCAGCAGCTTTTCAGGGAGAAGAGAAGCAAGCTGGAGCCCAGGGGTTGGCAGCTCTACTGCCCATTACTGCTGCATCCTGGAGTGTGTGGAGAAACGATCTCACCGAAGTAGGAAGGTTGCAGATTTTGAAGCTTCATCTTTTAAGTTTGAATCCTGCCTGGGTCATGCAGGGGCTGGGCCACCTCAGGCAAGTCACTTAAGTCTGTGAGCTCCTTCCTAGCTTCCATCTCTGTAATGGATATAATAATAGTATGGTTAAGGCTGGAACTGCCCAGATGGGCGATAGAGATGAGCGGTAGAAATCACCTAACAATGAAATATCAGGTACAAGGTAGAAGTCTGACAAGATATTTATTTTCCTTCCTTCTCCACGTTATTGTATATCTATCTAACTCAGAGATTCTGTGGCTGTTAAGGCACGTTCCACAGTTTGAGATTTTGGCCCTCAACCAGCTATAAATGTACATACTGACTCATGGGTACATCTGTTTGGGCAGCACTTCTGTGGGCCAGGCACTGTACCATTTGCTTTCCCATTGTTTGTGCCTCATCTATCCCCAGTTCATAGAACAAGAAACTGAACAAGAAACTGAAGCTCAGGAGGTTAAGAAATTCATCTACAATGTAAGAGCTCTTAATGTTGGAAGGAGGAACTGATCTAGAACTGTCTGATTCCAGAGTTTGGGGCTCTTAACCAGTAGGCTGCGCTGTCCATGCAGAGAGCCGGGTTAACAGTGGTTCCCCAGAGGCCTTCATAAGCTCCTGCTCTCAGTCACCCGAGTAGCAGGCAATTCTCCATTTGCCTACTTCTCTAGGCTTCTGGAAATCCAAAGACAACTGGCCCAGACAACCAGGCCCACCCAAGAGTACTAGAAGTCCAAGCAAAGGCATGAGCCTGTTAAGACTAGGCCAGCTTGTCTGCCTCCACCCTTCTCTTATTTTGAATAGGTAACTGTAGGGCAGTTCAATATTATGGACTTCCTTCATAATTGCATCCATTTCCAAAATCTGCTAAAGGAATTCCTTCTAAATTAACCACAGAACTTTCCAGGAGCAATGTAGGCCCTGTGTGGATATTCGCCTGACATGGTGCTAATCTTGTCCCGTGCATAGTGTGTGAAGTAGTTGTTGAATCCCCTGCCCAATATGGAACCAAAACAGCTCTGTCACTCTACCAGTGGAAGAAAATGTATCCTGCTAATGTGGTCATTGGGCTTTTCAGTGGACTGGGGAGAGGACTGAGTTTCGAATCTTCTGTTTGAAGCCTTGGGTTCCATACACTTGTCATTTCTGAACCAGTTAGAGTTGGCAGTTCTTACCACATCTGTCTCATCCACACAGAAATGGGGAAACTGAGGAGCTTCCCATTTGGTTGGTATATGCATCCTCCCACCCACAACCATGTACTTGCCCCTTTCTCCACCCAGTTGTGCAGTGGAGATGGGTGAGGCTGGTTGTCCCAAGGCCAGGGCTCCTCCCCCTGCCCCCTGCATGCCCACTCATGTAGCTGCAGATGGCTTGCAGGAGATTCTGGTGCTAAAATGGGCTTTTGAAGCTGATGCTGCCCTCTGGCCTTTGGTCTAGAATGCCTGTCCCCTACCTCTCCAGCTGCTTAGTTGAAGCAGTTATTGAAATGGTGACCTGGGTATCTAATTAAGAATGCCACTGCAGGCTTTGCACAGAACACCCAGGGGACACCATGTCCTGGTTCACATGTGGCTCACATTCATTCAACAATGACTAGGTCCCTTAACATTCTCTTACTATTATATTACACAAGAAAGTGTTTTAGATGCCAAAAGTAATTTACTCCTTTATCAGCAAAAATTACTTTTATTGCATAGTACAGGTTAAAAAGTATCACATAATCAAATGAAGTTGATACCTAGAGAAGGAGCCCATATGTTATACATAACATGAAGAATAAAATGCATTGTTTAGTGAAATCCCATCTGCTGGGCAATCAAGCGCATGTAACCCATGCATGGAAATTGCTTTCCAAGAAGGCAGGAGAGCATCCCAACCACTTTAAGATAGTATCTAGCCCCCCACCCCACCCCCCCGAGTCCTCACCCCCTGCCAACCCAGGTGTGATTTCTTCAGGGCTGAGGCTGCCTCCTCTGTTGGGAGCTAACAAAGGATGCCTGTGAGCCCTCTCATAACCAGCATCAACGAAGGGCCAGGCAAACCGCTCCAGACGTGAAAAGGAGATGCTTAGTTAGTTTCTGGACATCACATCGTTTTCCCACATGGCCACACCACATCTGAGAGCAGGTGGCCTGCAACTCCGGTCCCATGGATTAGTAGCATAGCCTCAGCGCTGTCCGTTCCGCAAGTCCTGTGGAGGGGGATCAGGGAGGCATTCTTACCAGCCACGTCTGGGGGCAGGCAGAGGGGGCAGGGGCAAGTTTTTACGTGACAGATACTCGCAGGTCATGTTCCTTCCCGAAAGAAATTGGTGGTAAGGCTCACCAAATCAGATGCCTCCTAGACGTTGACTTGGCCTCAGATGCGGAGGGTGGTAATCGCTGTCCAGGTTCACTGGCTAGGTCTACGCCATGCCAAGAAGGTATCGGTAAACTCCGTTCATTTAGACAGAAAGAAGACAAAATATTTTCAATTCAGAGACACATAGAATGACAAACAGTTTGATATCATATAGACCCTACCATTTTGTGTATATGGAGCCCTTTCTAAATGTAAGTTTATAAAATAAATAAAAATATAAAATCAATATAAAAATTTTAAATATACTTAGATTTATTTTATTTCAAATACATAATTTTATGTGTATATTTTAATATATAAGTATTATATATTATATAAGCAAGTCTATAAATCTATGGACAATTATGATTTGTATATGGTATATACATATTGTGATAGATGTGTATATGCAAATGTGCATGTGAGTGTGTCACAATTCTCCACAGGATTGTAATGTACTTCTAGAATCTGCTGACAAAATTTACAGTGATTTGAAAAAAATATCAACAGATTTAAATGAATTTGTGTTTTATGAATCACAGTAACACAAACATTATGCTGCAGAATTTTTTAAGCTAACTAAAGATTAAAATAGCAGTGCTTGATATACACATGGAGTCTTGGGCCTCTAGCAGGTACTCTGTACATTTTTGTTGAATGAAAGAACAATGAGTAGCTTTTTCAATGTCCACCTGGTTGTGTTGTTGCACGAAGGCAGCTTAAGCAAACTGGTGCATAGTTCCATGATCTTGTTTAAAGGTCTGCTCTGATTTTCAGAATTCTTTGGTGATCTGGACACACTGATGGGGCCTCTGACCCAGCACAGCAGCATGACCAATCTTGTCCGCTACGTTCGCCAGGGACTGTGTTGGCTGCGCATCGACGCCCATCTGTTGTAGTGGGTGTGCTCCTCCGTCTCCAGCATCACCACCCATCACTCTACCTCTACCAGAGCACCAATGGTCACTGGTGGAACGTCACTCATTTGGGAAAGTTCTCTTTGATTATGTTTGTTTTTATGCTTCTTTTGATATCTGTGAAAAACGGAAGTCACTGTAAGTGGACACTGCAACTTGAGAGCAGTGTATGTTTTATCACTTGGTCATTTTTTGGTATTTTACATGCATTTCTCAGTTCCCACCATCCTTTTGTGCTTGATGGAATGACACAGTTCCTACAGTATTGTAAGTCCACACAACCCAAAACAAAGAATGGAAAGCACTTGTGATGATAACAGGTTCCTGAGAAATGAAATCACACACACACACACACACACACACACACACACACACACACACATACTTATAAACTTAGACACAAAGGACCTGCAAAGAATCAAATTTTCAGCAATAGCCATTCCCCAAACTGTACTCTTATGCCCAGAAAAGAGCATATTTCTGAATCCATTACTAAATTTTTTGTGGTTTCCCAGGCTCAATCTTAAGGTGAGAATTTTTATTGTCAAAACCCACCGGTTAGATCTTATAGCAGCATCATAAAACCAAGAGTATTAAGAAGTAACAGCTCATAGCAATGCTGCTCTTAAAATGATTCTGTGGCATACAACCAAGAGGACTTACTTGCTAGCATCTCTTTCCTGATTCCCTCTTTTTAAAACATTAATGATGAGAAGGAATGGCAACCTTTATTTCGACAACTTTAAAACATCAGCTGGCATAAATATTTTTGAACTCCATGATTTGAAGCCTAAATCCTTACCTGGGATTCTCTTTGTGTAAAGCTTTCCTTTTGAGGGGAAGTGTAGTGGGTGCATACCCTAGTAGCCAAAAGGCTATGCCTAGTTTTAGAGACGAGAGGCAGGAGACGTCTGGAAAATGTCTAAAGAATTCACACGTCTGCCTGTTCTGCAATTGGTAGGCAGGTTCATAACTGGCAGGATTTTCATCAAGTGTATGTTGTTCAAATCTCTGGGAACAAAAGTCAAGTTATCACCACCCAGAAATAATAATATACAGTTTGCTTTCTAGTGGCTTTAAAATATGGACTTCTCTAATTATTATCCACATTTTCTATTTTACAGGGTTTCTTTTCTTTTTGTTCTTTTTATCTTTCTCTTCCCTTTTCTTTGGTGGGGAGGAGAGTTCATTAGAGTTTGACTGAAATACAATCACTGATTTTATTTGAGTCTGTATTAGTATGGATCATTTCCACAAACATTCCAAAGAAAACTCCAAATTCTAAGGAGTAGCTAGTCTTTGAACAAACAATGAGGTGGTGCTTCACCCTAGGGTGCTTTGAAAGAGCCGTGAGAATTAGGAATAGTTCACCATATTTGGAGATATTTCTGCATCAGTGGTGACTATCCCCACCCCTCTACATTCATTTTGTGTCCCTAAACATAACAGTGTAAATATCATCTGGGGCTCCAGCTAACCAGAAAAATCCCCACATGTAGTAAACACTATCCATACATTAGTTCCTTGTAATTACCTGCCGGTATATAAGTCCATGTAGCCTTTAATCTGCTGAGTTATTAATTCTGTTCACTGAGTTATGACCAGATAAACAATAGGTATATGCACATGAAAGATGCCAACTTGTATGATTTTTAAAGCAAGTCATGCAGGTCCATGATAGGAACAGCAAGGGATCGCTCTTGTACTCTCATGTTCAAGGTTAGCTACATTCCCAGTTGCAAAGAAGCCAGACTTGAGCTCCGCTCTGGTCATCTTTGAGTTTACGTCCCTTTGTTTTTTGATAAGGTTGTGGGAGTTGTAGTCCAATGGCCAAGGCCATGTTGTTAAGACGAGTGCTGGGAGCATCCTGGCAGCTGAACCCAGCATGTTTTATGCTCCCAGTGTGGTTGAGCTTTATGATCAGTCTCAACAACAACACTCAGACAGGCAGACAACCACACAGACAAATGAAACCTAAGAGAATCTTTTCTGAGCCTCTTAAGAGAGGAAAATGAGAATGTGAAAGACACTGAGCACCACAGCTGGGTGTCACATAAAAATTAAGCTGATGGCTTTGCAGTGACTCAAGTTCTCTGTTTTACATGGCTTACCAGGTAGAGTGCCTATTACTACATAATGAAGCCCACTGGCTTGACCTTGTAAGTTCAACCTAGACCACAATCCTAGACCATCATGGATTTAGGAGTAGATTCTTCTTGAAATTCCATCTCCAGAAACTAGACATTAGAATGCTAGGGGCAGTTTCCAGGGGAAACAAGCATATTGCCTCTTGGATGAAAGAGTTGGAGCTCTAGTTTCAGGGAGTCATTATATCTACTTTCCATGTGACAGGGAGGCAGCAGAGAATCCTGCTGTCTGATGTCACCTCTGGTGGCTGAGTGCCAAGTGTGTGCCAAATCAGTAGCATGATGATCAAATCGGACAGTAGAGCTGAGGATCACCACCTGATTATTCAGTAGACCCATTTGTAAAGCAGGTTTGAAACAAACATGGAGGATGAAATGCCTTCCTATCCCTGGAGCTGAGACTTCTTTCGGTTTCATGATTAGGGAATCACTGGTGTTTTCTAGGCACTGTATTCATCATGTTGTAAATGGTGCTGTGTGTTGTCGGTGTGCAGCTATGTGAGGGATTGAGATCTTTTGTCAAGTAAATCTCTTCAATGTACCAGTTTGGGAGAGGGATAGAAGACATGTGGATGGCAGTGAGAGATCCTGCCAAGAGACCTGGACGGAGGCTTGGTGAGATGTGTGTCAATAAGCACATGGAGGTAGAGTGATGGGCGGAGTAACGGGCAGGTCCACCTGAGCACGTAAGTACATAAAAGGTTATCAGCCCTGCAGTGGGACCGAGGCAGGGCCACCGCTAGGCCTTCATTTGTCACTCAAGCTTCAACCACAGAGAGTTTGACAAGTTTGTGTTAGGATGTTGGCTTCGCTTTGTATTTTTAATTAACTGCATTTTTTAGTGGTTTTGTCATGTTACTGTCTGAGTTTGGTAGGTAGGATTAATTTGATGAGTATAGTAGTGTGGTCCTCGGGGTAGAATTTAGGTGTCAGCATGTTGTTAGCCAGCCTATAGACTGTTAATTACTTAATAATCTCACTGGGAAAATACTAGTAGTTTTACATTTGGATGACATCATTGGAAAAGCAGATTAGCTGCTGGTAACTTTTGAATGACTTGAGGTTGACATGAAAAGAGTCAAATCTTTAGTCAATAACCAAGTTGCTAAATTAGAAACCATTCGCTAAAATGTGTTTTGTTGAGTTTCCAAATGGATGGATTTGCATTTGGACATTACATTGCTTAGTGCATTGGACTGGATTGGGAAGGTACCTGTCCTATTGTGTCTTTCGCAACACGATGTAATTTGGAGTTTGTTTCGCTCAAATTTGCATCCTGGAGGTTGAAGTTGAAGTATACACTTGGAAAGGCTTTTTGAAGGCAGAATGGATTTAGCTCTGAGGGGGAAGCCCTCACGTTCTTGTCGACATGATAAAATTCACCTGTGTGAGTTGGCAGGTGGGAGGCCCAAACTGGATCACTGGGTAGGACTACTCAGTAAGGCTGTGAAGTGCTTGCTTAGAGAAGCATCACTATCCCCATTGAGGCCACATGTGGCGAGACGATATAGCTGCATGGTGTCAAACAAATGGGTCAATTCAGTGCCCCCAAAGTCACTTCTGTGGGGAAAAAATATTGAGCCAGTTGTCACTGCTGTGTTCTGCGACTGGCAGACTTTGTCGTCGTCGTCATCATCGTTCTTGTTGTTCTTGTTGTTGCTCATTTCCACGCGCACAGCCTTATAAGGAAACTGATTCATTTCTCTTTGGTGTTAGCAAACTCTGACAGAAACGGCATCTGTGTATTGATAATCAGCATTTACCCTGGCAGGAGGCTAATCGGATAGGCTGGTCTCAGACATCAATCCTACCATCTGATATTTTGAGGGAAAGAAAACCATTCTAATTCCCCTTCCGTTCTCCTCCTCACAAATCTAGAGGCCCTCTTGACCAAGAGCATCACATTTTCCTCTGTAATCCATCAACTCAAAGAAAACTGCCTTGTGGGGAGGGCAGAGGGGGGTGGGGGTGGGGGGTGGAGGGGAGGGAAGCCCTTCCAGGCCAGGCTGCAGCTCTTGCCCCTTTCTGCTGCTGACATGAGATGTTAATGAATCATTCATCAGGCTCACGTTGGGTTAGGGGGACACTGAACTGCTTTTCCGATTCATGATCAATCATCGTTCTTCAAAGAGATTGGAGCTTTGCTGTTTCATTAACTGTGCAGTGTAGACTAATGGTGTTTAATAAAAATCATTCAAAATTTCAAACTCTTGCCAGTGACCTCAATTTTGTTGGCTCTTTGATTTGGACCAGCCTGTGATGAGGGAAGGGGGAAGCACAGAAAGCCTGCTGCCAGGCCCTGGCAGGGTACTGCAGTGCAAACCCAGTGCCTGCCAGCACTTGCCGGGGAGAGCAGCGCGCACACAAGCTGGGAGGAGCCTCCTGGAGAAGGCCCCAGTGCGTGCTATGGGCTGTGCACAGCTTCTTCCCGCTCAGAGACTCACTGCTCTCCGGCCTCCATAGCAGCAAGCCGGCTGCCATAACCAAAGCTTAAGAATGGTGAATGCCTTGCCTATTTGGAATTGGCCTGCATCATTCATTTGGCTACCAAATAGGGGAAGTGTCCCCGAGACCACAGCCCGGCAGGGTAACAGTGCATAGCCAGGTGCATCCCAGAGTGCATCACACCCTGCTGTCGTTCCACACTACCTGTAAAATTAACAGAAGAAGGACCCGTGGCCAGGAGGCAGAATTGGAAAAAGCCCGAGAGAGGCTCACTTCGTACCATGTTGCCCAAATTAAGAACTAAATTCTCCTTTACTCAGCCTCACACACAACCACGGGTGGGTAACAACCAGCTCTCTGACAGCAGAAAGCGCTGGATTTGTAGCATTTGCCACTCTTCATACTGTAAATACTCCCACTAGGGCTGATTCCAGCCTACAAACTATGTCACTGAACACAGAGCTGGGAAGAGATACCTGCCAAATTGGGAGACCACCAGGCAAGCCAGCTTGGACACGCTACTCAGTGCAGCCCAAGAGGGTTCAGCTTCACATTTCTGTGCCCATGGACACACACACTCCTGCACACTCATGCCCGTGTACACACATACACTTCAATGACAAACCACGACATCATTTTCAAATGCGAATCAACTGCGGATGTTCACAGTTCATGCTGAGGCCCTAGACGTATGGGTTTTAATCAGGAGATGGCTGAATAGAAAGTAGCTCTCTTGAGCCCAGAACAAAGATGGGCCAGTGAGGGCGCTTTCCTCATCTCCACATCTCAAAAGTAAAAGAGAAATGATATCACCACTTAGAAAACCCTCACTGTTGGTTTAAAATAAGGATAGGTGACCAATATTTTACTACAATTGTTTTTAAACAGCCAAGTGGCATTCCTAACTTCTAAATTTAACTTGGATAAAATATTTAGTATTGCCCCTTTTAAAGACAGCCTCTCTGTAGCTGGAAACATTAAAGCCTCTATGGAAAAAAGCATAATCCAAAATGCATCGTGTTGTTTTCTTGTAATATGGAAACTCAGCAGTTTTCCCATGTCGCTGATATTGTTCATGAGGTTTTTACTATAGCTACTCAGGATCAAAGTTGCACATTTAACATGTGTTTTTAGTTAAAAGTATCTACTTACTGTCCTAGCTCTGAATAGAAAACAGAATGTCTCCTGTATCAGTTACATGATTAATATTCAGAAATGATCAAACCAAAATAATTCGCTTTTCTACCCAATATAAAGAAAACCAAGATCACTAGCAAGAAGCCATAAACTTTGGTATATTTTTCTAAGAGAATGAGGGTTTCATTAAAGGCACACACACACATCTTTTTTATTAGACCTCCTCATTATAAATCATTCTGAGAGTCGAATAAGAAGTCTCAAAGGACCCATTCTCCCGGCCCTGTACATCTTCTGCAGTTAATAAGAGCTTTGTATCTAGAAAGGGTGAGGAACTTGCCCTGAACTCCTATTTTTCTTTAAACATTGCCATGTTCTATCCGAGCCTGTGTCCATGGTCAAATGTTAGCCCCAAGGACACCCGTGCCTTACTCTTTCTTTCCGGCCTTTCTGTCTTTACCTCCGTAGTTCTTTCTGTGACCAGCCCAGTGACAGGTTTGCAAAGGGGAGATCGTCTGTTCCCTCACAGTATTCCTGCCCCCGCTTGTCCTGACTGGAGAAGGGTAATGTCTGGCTCTGGTTAATTGACACTGCACTCACGCAGGGCCGCGGAGCCCCCCGAGGCCCTGGGCCAGTTTGCATGGATATGGAGAGCTAGAGATGTGTTCATCATCACCCAGTGATTCCCTGTCTCAATGCCATCCTTCCTAATCAATCATATTCACCCACAAATAGTATAAGTGAAATTGAGTCTGTCTCAAGACAATTTGTCAAATAGTTTTCTTCCTCGATGAGTCTGTTCTCTGGCCATTTTAGAAAGAGAGATGTCCGAGATGAAATCCCTCACATTTATTCAATTCTACAAACTGCTGTTTTGATTCCTATTTTCATGAGAGCACTGCTTCTGAAGGTTTTTTTTTGATGTAGTGCTGTCTTTGGATAAAATTAATACAACCGAAGTGAGGCCAGTAGACATACCATGGTCAGAAGGCTCCCTGGGACCAGAAAATACGTACAACTCTCTTGGCACACTCCCTTCGTTCGGTGACACTCCTCTAGGGTCGCCCACCGAAGCGACGGGTTTCCTTTCCGTTCTTGTGAGGGCTGTGGCTGTGCTTGTTGACTTGTGTCCCTCCCTCCTCTCTCTCTCTCTGGCTCAGGCTTGTGCTTTCCTGCTTGGGCTCTTTCTCTCTCTAAACAAATGAACAGGTGAATTAAACGTGAGCTCCTGAATTGTTCGTGCTTTTGAGACATAACAGATTAATAAAAATAGATGTGTTCTGATGTAAAACGTGCCACCTGGGAAGAAATTCTGTAGTCTGAAACCATGATATTATAGCTGCATTATTACATGGCAGGATAAATACTAGTCTGCTGAATACATTTGTCCAATTGTGTAACCTCGTGGAAGCAGTGTTTTGACCTTAATGACATAATTTTGGAGCAAGTGTAGTGGTTGCAGACAGATGAGACAGTTTATATTCGAGATTTTTCAATGAACTCTAGTCACAGGCCTGCCAATGGCAAACCAATTCAGATGTTGCTGTGACCATTATAAATATGAAGAATAAATTTCTGTTCAAGAAATTTCCCAGAACACTTCAGTCAAGGTGTTGTGGGTTTTTTTTTTTTTTAGGTTCATCTATTTGGTTTTAGTTTTTTTTCCTGTTGGAAGGGGTTTGTGATTGACTGAAGAAACATTTTGATTGATTGCAATGTGTATTTCTCTCTCTCAATCTCTTTCTCTGTGTGTTTCTCTCTCATTAAAATATGAAAATCTGAAGTCTTTGATAAATCTACATTGGGCCAGTCTGTAGGCCAGGAATGAATAAAATCTAAATCTAAGCAAACACTGATGGGTTTTCAAAGAAGAGCACCCCGTGCGCCTGAGGCCCTTCCACACCAGGCCCAGGCTGACAAATGGTAAGGATGGCGAGGTAGTTTTTGCGGAGTTTGTATTATATCCTCTGAGACCTAATACACTTTAACAAATGACTCGACCTGTTTTTCCACTAAGTCACTTGATAGAGACTTGAAAGGTACCCCTGAGACCTGCCAGGGCTGTCTTCTGCCTGGTCTGTAGGGTGTGTGCTTACTTTGTATCTGAGGTACACTAGTGTCTTACGTGCTCATTTGAAGTGCTTCGTAATATGCCCCTTAGCCTATATATAAGAACCAGAAAGATAATCCCAACATGCTATAAATGAAGATATAGGATTCTATAAACCTTTCTCTTGTTTTTGCAAAAAAGAAGGCATTTTCATGCATATTTTAAACAGAAATTTTGTATATTTAAGTGTCATGGAAAATATTGCATAGCCGGGACTCAAATGGAAATTTAATTGTCATCATATGCTTTGTGTTGGGGTGCTGAATAACACCCATGTCTCTGGACCATTGTGGCAAGCCATAACTGTACAAACGAACCACGTCATTTGTGTATATGTGTGTGTGTGTGCCTGTGCGACATGTCTGGCTTGCTGTCCTTCGTGAGATCCTAGCTGTCCATTCTTGAAAAACATTTCTTTTCCAGTTCCAGGAGACCATGGCTACATTGCTTTATGAAGGCAGTGATTTGAAATGAAAACTCCTTTCCTTTTGGAAGCTTTTATCATAATATTTATGGTTCAACCACATGGATTCCACTGGCCTTTGAAAGGGACAAAGGCTCCGTTCAAATCCAGCTGAGTTTCCAAAAGAAACCCGTAGGTCACGAAGCGGGGGAGGGGAGATGGAAGCTGCTTCCCGCTGCATCAACACATGAGCTGAGGGGAGCCCTCAGGGCTGGGGTGAGCTTGCCACGGGTTGCAGCTCCAATCCCCGGAGCCAGTGTCCTGGCCTGGGCTCCCTCCACGTCAGTAGACCAGCAGAACCATCAGAGCAAGCCTGGTCTGGTTCCTGAAAAGAAAACTTCCCCAGGCCCTGCCCCCAGTGGAAGACCCTTTTGCACACTGGTGGCCCTCCGGGCAGCCATTAAAGCTGATGATAATTCATACAGTGCCCCCTTGGGCACCAATTAGTCTTTTGAACCACTTTTCCTTGAGTGCAGATTTCCAATATTCATACCGGATTCACCGTCACTCTTCTTACCAAGCATGCTCATCTCATTAGGATTTCAGTTAAGTTCAGATGTCCTGTGTAGACCAAGGTAACTCTTCTAACATCAAGCAATGAATGAAATGGTGGCTGGTTCCTGAAAGCTGGTTTTTTGTGCTTTGTGTGTATAAAACTGTACCTGCCTGTGTTGTTTTGCATTTCAAATGTGTGGTGTACAACCATTTTCCTGGCACTTTGTTCTCATACAGTAACTCTGTGTGCAAACACTGTAATGTACTTTTGTTGTTTTCCAACATGACGTCTCTGTAAAAATGATATCGGCTGAGCTGGCTTGTTGGTTTCTCCCATAGATGCATTAACTACACAGCCAACACATTGAATTATTTAAAAATGCAAAATAAAATTTTTATGAAAATCTCCTTTTAGATATGTACATTACTCTGCTTATAGACTTCCCAGCCCTGAGTACCTTGTTACCACCTCTTTCACATCATAATACATGGTCAATGCTCCCACTTACCTCAACAGCTTTAGAATTGAGGGCCCTAGAGAAAAGAACTCTCACAAAGCCAATTCATTTTATGAGAGACCCATGGGCCATCATCATTCAAAGCCCATTTAACAGAAAATTTGTCAAATGTTTAGTTGCCTGAGTTCCTTGGACACAACACAAAAAAACTTGCAAAGTACAAAGTCATAACTGTAGTAGCTGCTGAGAGAAGAGACAGAGGAAATTATGCAAGTGGACTAAAAACTTGAACACACAGCCAACCACGGCCATTGCTGCAGGGACCTGCAGCCACTGGCTGGGGAGGGCAGCCTAAGCAGTAATCGTAGGGCAGAGTAATGATTTACAGTCATCAGGAAAAGGTTACATTACCTTAAGTATGTCCTTTTGTCTAAGGCAGAAGAGTATGCCATGTATTTTAGAACTACTTCCTTCAAAATATTAAACATTTTCCAGATGGTGAAAGAGCTTTCTGGTACCTAGACATTTCATTTATATGGAATACATGCTCTGGCCACAGGAAGTGAGAAAATGCAATGCCAGGACACTGTACAGCACTTACAGACACGTGTAAGTGAGCATAACGTTAACAATTAGCTCTGCTGAATTTCCTGTGAGCAAATGAAGTACATTTGGCTTGGCCAGTTACTTTGACACTGTGTAGTCACAGTCCAAGAATGAACACTAATGCACCTCAGTGTGGCTGAAACGCAGGATCTTGCTAAGAATTCTGTATCCTTTCCAAGATTTGAAGCCTCCAATATTGGTAAATATGAACATTTTTCTTATGAGATAATGAAGAAATATTTGATCAGAGTAAACAGAGCTAATTGGTTTATAAATTTGTTTTCAAGCAACCAAGTTGTTTTCCACTTCTCTCAAAATCCAGATGTCAAAAATCATGATCATGCCTAGGTAAAAGTAGACATGCTTGCAGAGAACAGCTGGCGGAATATGCAGTGCTGGGATTATGTTAATCGATCAGTTTATGCGGCATTTACAGTGTGCCAAGCACTGTTCTAGCACTTGCTTATATATTAAAATATATAATCCTTTCGGCCCTATGAAAAGGCATTATTATATCCCTGTTCTATAGATGACAAGACAGAGGCACAGAGAGAGGCTAAGCAGCTTGCCTAAGGTCACACAGTGAAGATTTGGACACATGGCCCCAAAGGCCTTGCTCTTAACCACTCCCCCCCGACTGCCTCTCACTGTTGTGCATGATGCTCTTGCCACTGTAGCACCATTTCATTTTAGAAACAAAAGTAAAGAAGAGCCCTGAGCCCTCAGGATGGGATGTCCTCTTAGTCTTTCCAGAGGACTGCAAAGGAAAGGCACTGGATCCGCCTTCCAGAAAGACCTCTTTCCATAAAGACTGAGAGCAAGGCCCAGGTGGAGTCAGCAACTTTGGAAAGGCTTGGTGAGATGGGACCCTTCAAGCACAGAGGTAGCAAATAGAAGAGATTGTACCCCCTTCCTGGCTGGACACTGGCTAGCATGACGGTCGGGCCTTGGAATGGCCGAGCTTTAATATCTGTTCCCACTGAAGATGGGGCCAGTGCGGTATAAGTCCTCCTCCTCGTCTCTGACCTGTAGACATCGGTTGAGACGGGAAGCAGAGCCTTCCAGCTGAGTGTGTGCCCTGGGCTTGGAGGCAGGATTGGGGAGCAGGCTCTTGCTGCTGACTTAAAGGAAACACTTAACCTTTCTGCACCCCACTTTCCTCCTCTACCAAATGGTGCTGATAGTATCAGCCTTCTCCCTGCTTCCCAGAGATGAGCAAGAGGTCATAAAGCCTGGTGTTTCTCATCCTGCCTCGCTCTTGGCAACCCTGAGGAGTGTATTGCCCCGAATACTTTCCCCAGACACACTGCCAGTAACAAGGCCAACAGTCTGCATCCTCTGAGGCCGTGAGCGTAGTGAAGGCAGCTGCAAGGTCACATCGCTGGCAGGGACTGTGCCACAAGTAGGGAGGTGGTGGCATGCTTTGAATGGAGAATGTGTTTAGCTTAGGCTTGAGTGGGCTATTTTGTCCCCATTGTCCCCTTTTTTTTAAAAAAGGAAATAAAATAGTAAAACCTTAGCTGTGATATCAGAGGAATCTATGTAATCTGTTAGGGGGATTTTGGTCATCAGTTTCATGTATAGATATTTGAAATTGATGCACGTTCCCAGGGCCCTCTGCAACAGTGATTAGTTACCTGCATATCGTGAGCTGGGGGTCTGCTGGCACTAACAGTCACAGGACCTAGTGTGTGAGTTCAGGAGACCAGTGGAGGCCAGGAAATGACCTTCAGGCCTTGTCTTTCTAGGCCTTTGACTCTCTATCCTTCATCCTACCCACATTGCTGAGGGTGGTGGGAGAGATTTTGAGAGTAAAGAGGGAACAGGAGACAATGGTGTTACTAGTGCTCTAGAGAAAACACCCCACAGGAATGCAAGCTCAGAGTGGCCTCTCTGGGGAAAGGATGTCCTTTCCTGTCTTTGTAAGGCTCCAAGAATGTCCCAGTTAGTTCAATCGGCGATTCACTTAACCACACTCACATTTCCCAAATAAGACAGGCCCAGCAGCAGGTCGCAGATGCGAGGGGAAGCCAAGAGCAGGGCTGTCGCACTTCTTTGGAAACATCATCTCCGGCAGGGCAGGGCCTGGGCAGAAAATGACAGTGGTGAGCTGAGATTCTCCCAGAATGCCCAAATCTGAGGACACTGGCAGCAGGCAGGAGGCTTCCCTCACAGAGGCTCCTTTAGAAGGACCCCTCCCCACCCCCTAAGCCTTAGTCAGGCTGAAGCATTTGCTGGACAGAAAACCCCAGACCAAGCAGGGGGGATGGAGCTTCCCGAGTGGCCAGGTGTTAACGAGGTGAACAACGGCCACTGTCCTGTTCACTTCCTCATGGTAGGCTGGGAGTGGTTCCCTCAAAAGCCCGCTGGCAAAAAACTCAACATTTTACACACCCATTTGTTTTAAATAGAGCTCAAATGAGCAGATTTGTACCCATATAGAGCCTGCACTGCTTTGCGTAACTCATGGAACTGCCCAACATCTGCTGGCCTCAGATAAGGTAAACACCACGTCTTGTACAGACCCCAGGCCACTGCTCCCTTCATAGCCTCTAGCCTGGAGGCTCCCATGGTGCTTCTGAGCCTGCTTGGACCTCCTCTTCCCCGGGAATTCTCCTGCTCTCTTCCTCTTCTGGGTGGAGGCTTCTGGAAGGTCTCATCCCACAAGGGACACCCCCACCCCAACTTTGCAAACCTGCTAAAGGGTCACCCAAATAAAGCTTGCTGTGTGCTACTGCCACCTCGTGGTCACATCTTTCTGCTCTATCAGCCCACAATTTCCTCGAACTCACTACACCCAAGCTGCAAAACAGGTCCTGAAGGATCAGCTGATAGGGAGTAATGGCGGGCTCCGTTTGGGGTCCCCTCCTGGCAGCCCGGAGCACCAGACACACACCCCTAAGCAGGTCAAGTCTTGGCCTTGGCACTGAACAAGTCCCATGAGAGCCAGCAAGCACATCCTAAAGCAAAGCCCTCCTGAGACGGGGCCAGCTCCCCCAGGGTGTGGCCCAGACATGCCCAGCACGCCGATGTGGCTCAGGCCCAGCTCCTGCCCTGCTGGCTGCCTCCAGTGCCCACACTCGAGCCAGCTGGGTAAGTGGCCTCTGCCCTGGCTCCAGAGTCAGGGCCTGGCTCATCTGCCACCCTCTGGCACAGGGTGCCTCAACCCTGGCTGAGCTTCATCTCACCACCTTCTGGGGCCCACGCCCTGAAATTCTAACCTAGTTGATTTGCGTACTGCTTTCTCACCCTCCCACCCCCAAGCCTCCAGGGGGTAGTTTCTAAAGCTCCCCAGGTGATTCCAATCTGCAGTCTGGATGAAGAATCATTTCTCTAGCCAGAGCTTCTCTAGTGAGGGCTATACCCATATCTCACCCCCATCCACCACAACCCAGTGCCTGGCATTGGTGGACTGGATCCTTGTATAGGGCTGGATTTCTGGGTCCTTGGGCATCAAAGGTCCTTCAAAAGCCAGCAGACATTTGAGCTTAGGAGTTCATACCCAGACCCCTTGGTGCTTTCCTTGGTTCCCTGAATAGTCTAAAAATTCCTGTGGAATCTGTTACCCACAAAAATAGTGACCCAAAAAACAATTATAATTGCTAACCAACCGTCAAGTGCAAATTGCACCCTCTTGTGAGTTAAGACATGCCTTGGCATATAACCTTTAGCTGGGGACAAAGAGGAGGCCTAGGTTTGCATCTGAGCTCTGCACAGACTCCCTGTTGACGGTTGCTTTTCTGGACCTCAGTGTCCTATCAGAACACTGAGAATGATACCACCTTTGCTGGATGCCCAGTGGAAACAGCATTAGGGCATGACAGGCAGTCCCTGACAGAGGGACTGATACTGAACCTAGACTGGTTTTTCTCCCTCGGGATGGATGAGAGTTAAAAGGTACCCTCCCTCTCCTGCCCATCTTCCCTGCTAAAGTCTGAGTTGTCACCCCAAGAACCTTATGAAAGCAGACACTTTCTTTTAAGCTGCTGTTTTGTCTTAAAATTTTGGTGTCGTTTGTATTATATTTCATAGATACTACATTTATTTTAATATAAAAATTACTTTCTACCCACTTTTATTCAACATGGTACTGGAGGTCCTAGCCATGGCAATCAGACAACACAAAGAAATAAAAGGCATCAGATTGGTAAGGAAGAAGTTAAACTGTCCCTGTTTGCAGATGACATGATATTGTACATTAAAAACCCTAAAGAATCCACCCCAAAACCAGTAGAACTAATAGCTGAATTCAGCAATGTTGCAGGATACAAAATTAATACACAGAAATCTGTTGTATTCCTATACATTAATGATGAACTAGCAGAAAGAAAAATCAAGAAAACAATTCCATTCACAATTGCAACAAAAAGAATAAAATACCTAGGAATAAACCTAACCAAGGAAGTGAAAGACCTATACCCTGAAAATTATAAGACACTCACGAGAGAAATTAAAGACACTAATAAATAGAAATACAGCCCATGCTTATGGATAGGAACAATTAATATTGTCAAAATGGCCATCCTGCCTAAAGCAATCTACAGATTCAATGCAATCCCTATCAAAATACCAACAGCATTCTTCAATAAACTAGAACAAATAGTTCTAAAATTCATGTGGAACCACAAAAGACCCCAAATAGCCAAAGCAATCCTGAGAAGGAAGAATAAAAAGGGGAGGATTATGCCACCGAACTTCAAGCTCTATTACAAAGCCACAGTAATCAGAACAGTTTGGTACTGGCAGAAGAACAGATCCATAGATCAATGGAACAGAATAGAGAGCCCAGATATAAACCCACATATGTATGGCTAATTAATAAACAATAAAGGAGTCATGGCCATACAATGGGGAAATGACAGCCTCTTCAACAGCTGGTGTTGGCAAACTTGGACAGCTGCATGTAAGAGAATGAAACTGGAATATTGTCTAATTCCATACACAAAAGTAAACTCAGAATGGATCAAAGACCTGAATGTAAGTAATGAAACTATCAAACTCTTAGAGGAAAACATAGGCAAAACTCTCTTGAATATAAACATGAGCAAGCTTTTCCTGAACACATATCCTCGGGCAAGGGAAACAAAAGCAAAAATGAACAGATAGGACTACATCAAACTAAAAAGTTTCTGCACAGCATAGGACACCATCAGTAGAATAGAAAGGCATCCTACAGTATGGGAGAATATATTTGTAAATGATATATCCAATAAGGGGTTAACATCCAAATTATATAAACAGCTCACATGCCTCAAAACCAAAAAAGCAAATAACCTGATTAAAAAATGGGCAGAGGATATGAACAGACACTTCTCCAAAGAAGAAATTCAGATGGCCAACAGGTACATGAAAAGATGTTCCACATCGCTAATTATCAGGGAAATGCAAATTAAAACCACAATGAGATAACACCTCACACCAGTTAGGATGGCCAATATCCAAAAGACAAGGAACAACAAATGCTGGCAAGGATGCAGAGAAAGGGGAACCCTCCTACACTGCTGGTGGGAATGTAAATTAGTTCAACCATTGTGGAAAGCAATATGGAGGTTCCTCAAAACATTAAAAATAGAAATACCATTCTATCAGCAATTCCACTTCTAGGAATTTACCTGAAGAAAACAAGATTCCTGATTCAAAAAGATATATGCACCCCTATGTTCATCACAGCACTATTTACAATAGCCAAGAAATGGAAGCAACCTAAGTGTCCATCAGTAGATGAATGGATAAAGAAGAGGTGGTACATATACACAATGGAATACTATTCAGCCATAAGAAGGAAACAAATCCTCCATTTGCAACAACGTGGATGGATCTAGAAGGTATTTTGCATAGTGAAATAAGCCAGGTGGAGAAAGACAAGTACCAAATGACTTCACTCATTTGTGGAGTATAACAACGAAGCAAAACTGAAGGAACAAAACAGCAGCAGACTCACAGACTCCAAGAAGGGGCTAGCAGTTACCAAAGGGAAAGTGACTGGGGAGGATGGGTGGGAAGGGAGGGAGAAGGGGAATAAGGGGCATTACAATTAGCACACATAACATAGGGGGGGTGCACAGGGAAGGCCATATAGCACAGAGAAGACAAGTAGTGACTCTATAGCATCTTACTATGCTGATGGACAGTGACTACAGTGGGGCATTGGGGGGGGCTTGATAATATGGGTGAATATTGTAATCACAATGTTGCTCATGTGAAACCTTCATAAGATTGTATATCAATGATACCTTAATAAAAAAAATTACCTTTTCCACTCCAAAACTTGCAAATTTACACTTCAAGAAAATGTTCCTTGCTTATTCATGGCTCAGCACACTCTTGCCATATTGCCTTGAGCTGGATAACCTCTAAGGCCCTTTCCAGTTCAAATGCACCATGAATTTATGTCTGAAAGTGGCTGTCAAGGTTGGCCCTTTCACTTTATCTCCCTGGCCACTGCCTCCATTGAAGTTCTCATCATCAGGATGTGGACAACCATAACAATTTCTCAAGTAGCCTCCCGGCCTCCCTCAGGTTATTAGCAGAATTCACTTCCTTATAACTGTAGAGCTCATGTTACCTTGCTCCATCAGGGCCAGCAGGAGAGGAAGTCTGTTGTCTAAACCCTCATTTAAAGGATTCTCCTGATTAGCTCTGGCCCACCGAGGATAATCTCTAATCCAACCAAGGAATATTAACTGAAATCAGACTGATTATGGACCTTAATTACTTCTGCAAAATCCCACCACCTGTTCCATATAATGTAGCCTAATCACGCAGGTGACATTTGCCCTATTCACAGGTCCTCCCACACTCAAGGGAGCTCACACAGGGCATGCACACTGGAGGGAAACATCTTGGAGACCATCTTAGAATTCTGGCTGCCACGTGACTCTTAGGCACCAGAAGACTTCACTTGGTTCCTAGCAGGCTCTTCCTCCTCCCCATAATCTCTGGAGCAATAGACCTAGAGCTGGACCCTGCCACTGGCAGAGTCCTTTTCTCCTTGCCTTGGTTTCTCCAAGCAGAAAATTACCCAAGCAATCCTTACTTCTGTGCTGCTTAGGGGGGCATAATAAATTAATGAATTAACTGTGTTA